AGTGTGGGATTATTTCTAGTTTTCAGTTACTATGGACATTTTTGTACAACATTTTCTATGGATATATACATTTATTCCTCTTAGACATATACCGAGGAATTGTTACAAAATGACCCAGGGGTGTGGTTAAGTGGGCAGGCCTTTTTGTGAACAAAGTTAAAAAATTTCTCCCAAACTGTACATCCCTTTGTCTGTTTATAATAGACATATTTTTACTATAGCCTCAGGCACATTATAAAACAATCTCCATAAAATAGTACAAGTTGACCCTTGAACGATACGGGTCCACTTACACAAATAATTTTTACAGAAAATACCTGTACTGCTTTCCATCTGCGGTTGAGAGTCTATGAATGTGGAGGTTTGTTGTATGCATCGATCTACACCATTGGATATAGGGGACTTGGGCATGCATAGATTTTGGTATCCATGGGGGGAGTCCTAGAATCAAGCCCCCACAGAAACGGAAGGACAGCTATGTAGTTAAGTTTGTGGGGGAGTCAAAGTTATGCACAGATTTTCATCTGTGTATAACCCCTAACCCCTGCATTGTTTGAGGGTCAATTGTATTGCCAAACAGTGTAATATCAAGAGTTTAAACTCAAAATATTTTTATGGTTGAAGAGCTAAATACCATAAAATGGTTTACTATATGTGGGATGGTTCATTTTATGTGTCACCTTGCCTGGGCCATTGTGTGCACAGATATTTAGTTAAACATTATTCCGGGTGTATCTGGATTAGATTAACATTTGAATAGGTAGACTGAGTAAAACAGATTGCCCTTCCCAAGGTGGTGGGCCTTATCTATTTGTTTGATAGGCTGGAAAAGAACATAAAGCCTGAGTAAGAAAGATTCTCTCTCTCTCTCTGCCTGTCTTTGAGCTGGGCATGGGTCTTTTTTCCTGCCTTTGGAGAACCCAGATTTAGACTAAAACTTAGAACATTGCTCTCCTGGTTCTTGGGCCTTCAGACTCAGATGGGAACTCACACCACCAACCCTTTTGCTTCTCAGGCTTTGGGACTCAGACTGTCACTGTGCCATTGAGTTCTCTGAGGTCTCCAGCTTGCCAACTGCAGAGTTGGGTCTTCTTAGCCTCCAATATCATGTGAGTCCATTATACATAGGAAGGTTATGCCAGCATCGATATAAAAAATGACAAGTAAATAACAACACACATACTAAAATTCTGTGTTTTATTTTTCACTTTCCTCAGGATCTTTAAAAAGATAGAAGTATATTAGTCTTCTAGAGAGATAGTTGGTCTTCAATGTAAAAAAGAAAATGACTTAAGTTCCCAGATGAGGACTTCAGTAGCTAAAAACCAATCAAATTAACTCTGATGTCCCTGTTTGCTAGAAGAATCTTATTGTCAATATCAAGAGTGGATTAGAAAACTGTGGTACATATACACAATGGAATACTATGCTGCGGTAAAAAAAAAGGAACTCTTGCCTTTTGCAACAGCATGGATGGAACTGGAGAGCATTATGCTAAGTGAAATAAACCAGTCAGAGAAAGATAAATACCACATAATCTCACTCATTTGTGGATTATAGAGAACAACATAGACTGATGAAAAGGGACAGACCCAAAGACTGAGAAACAGCAATCAGGCTATCAATCCCCAGAAGGAAAGTAGGGGAGGGCGGGGGTAAGGGGAAGAGATCAACCGAAGGACTTGTATACATGTATATAAGCCAAACCAATGGACATGGACAACGGGGAGATGGGAGCATGAGTTTGTGTGTGGGGGGGAGGTTGGGGGTTAATGGGGGGGATGAGGACACATTTGTAATACCTTAACTAATAATAATAAAAAATAAAATAAAATAAAAATAAAAAAATAAAAAAATAAAAAAAAAATTTAATAGATTCTTAAAAAAAAAAAAAAAAAAAGACACTTTTTGAAAATCCTATTGTTGCCCTAACCGGTTTGGCTCAGTGGATAGAGCATCGGCCTGCAGACTCAAGGGTCCCAGGTTCGATTCTGGTCAAGGGCATGTACCTTGGTTGTGGGTACATACCCAGTGGGAAGTGTGTAGGAGGCAACTGATTGATGTTTCTGTCTCATCGATGTTTCTAAGTCTCTATCCCTCTCCCTTTCTCTGTAAAAAAATCAATAAAATATATTTTTAAAAAAATCCTATTGTTTTTCTTATGTAATTCCTACCTAGTGATGAACATGTCTAAGATAAAAAGTATACAGAGTGGTATTCATAGTAGATTGGACAATGAAGAAGGAAAGATTAGTGAACTTGAAGACAGAGCAATAGACACTATTCAAAATGAAACCGAACAGAACTGAATAAAAAAAATGAACAGAGAATCAATGAGATGTGGGGAAAATTCAAACTAGATTGAATTCAAATTAGAATTTTGGAAGAAGAAGGAATGAGAAATAAGAGTAAGTTATTTAAGAACCTAAATGAAACTATAAGTAATATCGAAGAGCACAAACCAATAAAAGAGAAAACAAGGAAACTAGAGCTAATTTGTTGAGTAAATTAAGAAAGTTGATAAATTTTTACTATAATGTTCAGAAAGAGAAGAAACAAATTACCAATGTTAGAAATAAGAAAGTGGACATCACAACAAATCCTACAATTATGAAAGGAAAAGAAATATTATAAACAATATTATGCCAATAATTTCTACAATGTACACAAAATTAGCAAATCCCCTGAAAGATATAAATTAGGAAAGCTCACTCAAAAAGAAATAGATAACTTGTATTACTCCATATTTGTTTTTTAAAAAATGAGGACTATATAGCTTCACTTTTGAATTCTACCAAACAGTTAAGAAAAATAATATCAATTTTTAACAAATGTTTTGGAGCAAGTACTACCCTGATATTATAATCCAATATCATTTATGAACACAAAACCAAAACTTTTTAGCAAAATTTTAGAAAGTTAAATTCAATAACATACAGAAAGGCTGATAATATATCATAAATAAGTATAAAGAAACCACTTAATAAATATTTAATGTGTGATTCAATGAATTACTAAGAATCAGTTTTTAAAGTATCATTGCTAATAAATTTTGGATTGTAACTTTCAGATGTCCTTCAGGGCAAATGCGAGAAAAAAATGTCTTTTTTTTTTTTTTAAATGCCATGTGCTGTGCTAGGTTTTGCGATATAAAGATGAATAAAAAAAACTTCTACTCTCAAAGAGCTCACAATAAATTTGCCACATATATATAAAGCCAATATAATGCTCAAATATTTTTGGAAGAAAGGGAGACAATACAGCCTTTTTCTGTTGGAAAATAAATATTTGAGGTGAGTTTTATAAATCAAAACGTTATGGTATATGTGAAAGGCAGATTTATAAACTCTCTAATTATGCAGGTATGAATGAGTTAGAAACAGTGCTTACAAGTACCTTGTTGGAAAGAGACAATGAAAGAATGCAGTCAGTGTCTTACGAGGATATGAGGTACTTAAGAAAATCATGAGGAATGCTTTAGAAAGTTAGGTTCTAATTTTCAGCCTATTTCATTAGGTCTTGTTGGACAATCTCCATTTATAAATGAGAATCTTTGTTTGTTTTCATGGGATCTTGTCAGGGAGAATTGTGTTAGAGATTTTATTGCTGGAGAAAGTAATTTTCTGCAGGGTTTGAAGTAAAAACAGATTTGGTCACTGACCTCTTGGAGGAAGTCAAGTGGTTTGAGCCAAAAAAAAAAAAAAAAGAGTGTGATACACAGTTATTATTATTGTTTTTATTTTTGGCAAAATTTCCATTTGAACAATTGGTTTTAAGCATTTCATTTTTTTTTCTCCTAAAAAGTTCTTCATAAAATTAAATAGATAACTTATTTTATTTTCTCTCTCTTCTTCTAGGAGTGGAAGACAGAATATTCTTTTTTATTTTTCTAGTTCATTGAAATCTTTTAAATATCAAAGTATAAGTAACAAATACAATTTAGAGTACAAGTGTAATAAGAATAATTAAGAACACTTTTAAAAAATGCATATTCACACTTTCTAGATATTATAATCTATTAGGTCGTTGTAGAAAACCCAAGAATATGCACTTTTTTCAACTTGTAGACAATGGAGGTGATCTAGTTTAAGCAATTTAATGTTTTACAGTCTCTCAAGACAGAATATCATAGAATGGAGATGGACTCAAAGGGTAGCTAAAAATTATTAATTACACTATTAATTTAAAACAATGAATTTCTGGAACATGACACATCACACACTGAAATATAATGATTCCAAATGTTAATTATTTTTGCTTTAGTTATTATTTTGAATATACACTAGCAAAAATAATTGAGAATTATAAGTGTTTCAGAGCAGTAAAAATGTTTCTTTTCCTTTTTATTAAATTTATTGGAGTGATACTGGATAACAAATTTATACAGGTTTCAGGTGCACAATTCTACAACACATCATCTGTGCATAGTAAAAAAAAGTATAAAAATGGCTATAAGATGAAAGAAATCAAACGCAGAAGGGTACATACTGATGTGATTCCTTGTACATAAAACTTTAGAACGGACCAACGTAATCTAGAAAGGCAGAAAACAGATCATTGGTGGCCTGGTCTTGGGGGTTAACTACAAAGGGGCAGAAGGGAACATTTGGGGTTCCTGGAAATGTTCTGTGTCTAGATTATAGTGGTGTTCACATGTGTGTGCATTTGCTGGAGCTCAGAGCACTGTCCACTTAAAATGGGAGAATTTCATTGGCTGTAAATCACACTTCATTAAAGTTGATTAAAATAGGCTATAAATATATTTCTGAGGTTTTTTTTTTAAATGAGGCTAAGTTTATCATACAACTTGATTAGGTAGCTCACAGAATCCCCAGCAGGACCACAACATGGGGCGTGGAGGCTACACCGTCAGCAGCAGCACATCCTACCACAAGGAAGGCTGGGAGAGTGAGTTTCTGGCTTCTATCTGTAGGAGAGGAAACTCTTGAGTAGGAAAATTTCCCAACTATGTCTTTTTTATTTGTGTGTGCATGCTTATTTTGAAATTTTTAAAAGTACTAAAAAGAATAAAGAGCATCCTTAGATATGATACTGCAAGAATGTAGACATTTTAGTCACTCCCTAAATTCCTACCTTCAAAAAAGTTCAGAAGAATTTTTCATTTTTTTACTTGACTGAAAATGTTTTCCTTTATTCTCACATTTATGAAAAAAAATCATTTACCCACTCCAAGATGAGGTGAGACCCATTTGCGGTATGAAAATGGTCTCTGTTCTCAGCACAATCTGTCTAGTGTCCAGTAGAGGCCTCCTCTTAATCACTGCTGCCACCTGCTGGTCATGTGGTTGCTAGGTCTTAGAAAAAGCAGTGCACAATGCTCCAGTCAAGATGATGCAAAATGCAAATATCATTAATAGGTAGTTTTGTTGACCCTGAATAATAAAAAAGAGTAACTGTAATTAAGAACACTTGAATCAAACACACAAAAATTCACAGATTCGTAGGACTACTAGGACCTTACTAACCATCTTCCTTAGTCACCTACATGTTTTTTTGTTATTTCTCTAAGTCAGGAGTCCTCAAACTACGGCCCGCGGGCCACATGCAAATACAAATATTGTATTTGTTCCCGTTTTGTTTCTTTTACTTCAAAATAAGATATGTGCAGTGTGCATAGGAATTTGTTCATAGTTTTTTTTTAAACTATAGTCCGGCCCTCCAACGGTCTGAGAGACAGTGAACTGGCTCCCTGTTTAAAAAGTTTGAGGACCCCTGTTCTAAGTAATCATCCAGATTCCCTTGAAAACCCATAAGATCAATGAACTGGGCTGGGAAAGAGGATATCAGGTTGAAATTCTAGTAGAAATTCAGAGCTTTACGTGTAAGAGAAAGCATGATACTTGCCAGGTGCTGAAAGAAGGTCAGTGTGACTAGAGCAATGAGAGTTAGGTAGAGGCAAGGTGAGGTTGGAAGGCTGTGGGCCTGATCATACAGGGATCTAATAGGTCACGTCATGCCTTTGAGTTTTATTTTTCTGAGCAATGAAAATATATTAAAGGAACAAACACAGCTAGATGTGGTGAAAAGATAGGATTTGCATTTGCTAAAGCCCGAACTTTTTTTTACAATGGTGAACAGATTGGAGGAGGCCAGATGGATGGAAGGAGACCAATAAGGAGGTACCTACAGTCCTCCTGGGGAGAGATGATGAAGTTCAGGTAAATAGACAGAGAACAGCCTAAAGGGTTAGGAAGAAACAGACTAAGTCTGGCCTGTCCAGCTGTATATGGGTGCACTGGTCACAGAGATGGGAAACACTGAGACTCACCTTCCAATGTAGACAGTCTATGTTTACATTAACAAAGAATATCTTCCTGTGTTAACTAGAAATATTTTATTTCCTGCAAGTTCTATCTCTAGGGGTACAGATAGATTGATTTCTAATCTCTTTCCCATAAGAAAAAACTCTCAAACATTGAAAAATAACTTATATCCCTGAAGCATCTGCTTTCCTGGTCAATATTTTAATTCCTTTGACCATTTTTTTTTCATGTGGAATAGTTTCAAGCTCCCCCACTATCCTGACAGGTTCCCTCTGAATGATTTATTGCCAGGTTGTCTATATTCCTCTTTAGATACAGTTCCCATTATCCTAAGGGGAAGTTTGAATATCGCAAAGTAAAACAGGATCAGTGCCTCTCTCATTTTAGATATATGGTCTAAAATTACATCGAGATCTCCTGACAGTCAAACCATATAATTCTATTTTTAGCTCTTATCAAGATTAATGCCAATTAATACAGAGCCCAAACACAATACAATGCATATTCCTTTTTATTTTTTTTACAACTTAATAGAGAATTGGATTGGAGTGGATTAATTTGTTTGATTACCAGAAAGAGCTCTTTGTAAATTGGGTGGGAGCCAGCTGTACTGTGTGATTCACTGTGAGCATCAACACTATCAGAAGTCGCTGTAACACAAGCTCTTCAAGTGCAAGACAGCAACACAAAGCCTTGCCAAGTACAGAGCGCGCGCGCGCGCGCGCACACACACACACACACACACACACACACACACACACACACTGCATTAAGGCATTAAAGTTCCTGACATCTTGTTCTTGGTTTTAAAGACAATAACCTATACCTAGATACCAGTACTGGTGCAAAATAGGTATTCAATAAATATTTGTTCAAAAAATTAATACACTCAAATGATTGCTAAATTTACTTTAAATTAGACAATGTGATTACTTAAATAAGAAAAAAAATATATGGGGCCTCAACTAACATTTTACAACTAATTATGTGAATATTTTGGTAAGCTTTCTATTTTATTGTCTCTGTAGACAGAAGAATAATATTCTCAGGGAATAAAATATTTTTTCCCCTTTAAGTTTAAGAATCTGTCTAAACTGCCTAGTCTCCAAGGGGGAGAAAAAAAACAACCTGATTATATTTGGGTAATAGTTTTCCTTGGTCAAAGGTGAATGTTAGCTCTTAGAAAGATCATGCTAACATTCTCCCCAAAGCAAAAAGTTTGAACTTGGATTTTTGAAACAGCTATTGAGATTTTAAAAATATATCCTCTCATCCTTTATCTGGGGGTAGCTACTGATGTATAAATTGTTATGGCGATAATCACTGGTATCACTTTGGCTAAAAAAGTGTGTTGCTAAAAATATAGTGAATATTTAATTTAAAATAGCTAAATATAAAATTATACAACAAACTTCCCAAAGAGGAACAGATATCAGATACAAAAGAACAGTAGAATTGCACAACCTCCAAATGGAGCGTGGATGGCATTAAAACGAAATAAAAGCATTAAATTCTTTCACACAACAAGTGCTTGTGTCTGTTAAGTTCTTACTGCTGTAACTTGTAGACTTTAAAATAGGTCTTTGAGGACTGATTCAAGACATAACTGACAGGAACTAAAAGTCAGAAAGATAAATGTTTTGCTTTTATTTCACTCTAGGATTTTGTGTTGTTTCTAAGAAGAAATAATTGTTTTAAAATTCTGATAGGATTTTGGGCTCAGTGTTTAGTTGATAAGTTAAACTCGTTGGCATGTAAAATATTTGAAACTCCTTTGACTCAGTTGTCAAGAGGCAGGTAGGCATCTGCAGTGAATGATAAGTATCACTGGACGCCCTTTAAGCTTTGTTTGTAGACAAGATTCGTAAGATTTTTTAACTCTAGGAAGGTCAACAAAACTCACTCTTTGCTTTCAGCTTGGCCCTCCCTCTCTTTATTTTCATATACACACTTGGCTAAACTTCAACACTCTCTCAAATTCCAGAAAGGATCCCGTTGGGATCTTACAGGGATCTCAGTGAATGTTACTGGAAAGAACTGCCTAGGAGCCATAGTGAGTTGTCCCATGAGGAATATGGTGAGTCTCCCCATTTCTCCTGATTTTCTTTTATGTCCTTTTGTAGTAAAGTAAAAGATCTTAGAAATCTAGCATACTTCTTGTTGATTTTTAAAAATATTTAAATAATCTTTGTAGTTAGTAATAGCACTTATTTTATACGTTTTAATTGATAATTAGTGGCATATTGGAAGGATATTTATTATATGTTTATACTATATTTCAGCACCTTACTCAATGATCTTATTGAATCAGAAGATTTTCAGCTGTTATTTTTGGAAAACCCTCTTTGAATGCCTTTTAGTATCTTTTAGAGGACTCCGAGGAATTAACACGAGGCTTAATGGTTAGAGATTCTGTCAAGAGAGTTCTTATATCTAGAAAAAATTATTTTAAATTCAGTATCAGTATTACTGCAGTAATAAGCAAAATAATTTTCAAAAGCTTAAAATAAATCTATTCTTACTTTGTGTTTCTTTATATGTTAACTGCAAATAAGTTCTGGTCACTAACTCGTGATTTTCTAAGGCGTCAGCATGTTACACTGAATCATAATTCTTAAGTGGAAATCATCCTTTGTGAGGCAGATGAAACATTTGCAAAGAGATTTATAGCGTGTTACAGGCATAGAATTATTTTTGTGGAAAGCAATTCTAACTAAAATAAATGAGAAACACGTGCATAAAAGTAACTTATGCATCTACAAATGTTTTCAGTTGTCTTGTGTATTTAAAAAAACAAACAAAACTAAGCTCATGGTCCAAGTATCTTCTAAACATGTGTATTTCATCTGAGAATTTTACTCATATTATCAAATTATGACTTTCTAAATAAAAATGTTTCATTTAGAATGAATGAAATGATTTCTTAAATCTAAAATCAAAGAATCACTTTAAGGACTAGCCAGGGACACAGTTCACTTCGTGGTTCCCAGAGATTAGCAGCATCAGATCTTCTTAGACCCAGGAATGACTTGCTATTACGGCTGCACATTAAGACAGAAGCTATGATGGCCCTGATGCCATCTAGACCACCATCTAGATGCCATCTAGACCACCATCTAGAGCGTCTAGACCACCATCAAGTACACGTGAGAGGGAAGAGGTAGTGGTCACCTGTTACCATACTGTTTTCCTGTAAAATTACTGGTTTTATTTATTTAATTTTTTAATCCTCACCCGAGGATATTTTTTCCAATGATTCGTTAGAGGGAGGGAAAGGGAGAGGAGGGGGAGAGAGACACATACACATTGATTGGTTGCCTCCTGCATGCACCCTGACCAGGGCCAGAGGCAAACCTGGCACCGAGGTACATGCCCTGGGCCAGTAATCGAACTGGTATCCCTTTGGTCTGCAGGCTGACTCTAACCACTGGGAAAACCGGCCAGGGCTAAAGTTGCTGTTTTTATGTGGAGACCTTTGGGAGGCAGGAGGACCCACATGAGTAACTTTTCTCAAAACCCATGTGCCTTGGGGATAGTTTAATCGTTGGGATAAAAGGAATCTTTTCTTTGTTAATCGACCATATTTTACACAAAATAAAATTTCCCTCTACCGGATTTTATTGGATTATTTAACCAAATCTCTTTCAGGAATCTAAAATCAACTAAAGCATTTTTCTACTGGGGGTTGGGGTGGAGAGAAACATATTTTATAATAATTTTCATATTTTTGTGATTTTCTTTGCTAGTTAGGGATGAAAACACATTTTGAACATCTGACCTGTCAACTCAATTCATGTGTTTTCTGCACTGGGTTTAGTAGTTAAATACAGTTTTCAGAAAATAACACAAACATAGTCTTATATACACTTTATACATGGGTCTACCCGTTTTATAACTCTGCCCTTTCTTGTACATACCTGTATTTCTTTAAACATGAAGACACCCCACATTGCAGCTACAAATCCTGGACCCTTAAGAAAAAAGAACTTTGATTAAATTAGTTATTTTCCTGTGACTATACTCTATGTAAATACAGTAAATAGGAGAGCTGATTTAACACTTGATAATCAAATAACTTTCTATTGTAAAAGCAATATAACAATATTGACAGGGAAATAATCTCAACCCTAACTCATCATTAAGTTAAACTAAGTAGCATTAGGTAAAAAATGAAGATATATATATATATTGATTTCAGAGAGAAAGGGAAAGGGAAAGAAAGAGAAACATCAATGATGAGAGAGAATCATTGATCAGCTGCCTCCTGCACACACTCTATACTAGGAATTTGAATTAAGCATGGTTTTTGTGGAGAAGGTATGTTGTGTTAGCATGTTTATGATTCTGTTTCAAGCCTGCACAAACTCTGGAAGTTTCAAATAAACAATTCCAACATGTTTTCCCTCTCCCACTACTCCAACTGTCCACATGGCTGGGTCAACAAAGTCTGACTCCATTCTGGCATGTAAGAGAAGTAATAAAAATACATCACTCTCTGTCAGCATCTGGAAAAGCCTACATCAAAAGAGCCAGAGCAATAGGTCAAAGGAACTGTCTGTTATCAATGACGTAAGGTCCTAAGCCTCAAAACCCAAACCAAACAAGACTCATCTGGGTCCTTTAGGCAATTCTATCCTGGCTTCGGACAATAGAATAAGGACATAACATTCATGTTATCTTGCTATTTGCTTAAGAATTTTATCCTCTTTAATCAGGAAATGAATTTCCCTTCAGAGTACATGGTTGAAGATAATACCAAAAGGTATCATTGACCTTTGAGACTTTTTGGCTGATGATTTTCTAAATATTTGCTTAGTGCCTAAAAGGTATTGTGACGAGTAATGCGACTGTAGGAAGAAGTGCTTTGCTAAATGCAAGCATAAGTCACAGTGTGTACAGATGCTTTGATTCAGGCAAAGGAGAGCCAAACAGGAAGGGCATTCCTAGATAAGACACACACCTGCTTTGGCAGTTGGGTTGTATTTTTTCCTTTTGTGCATTTATACAAAATATATTTGTATCAGTCTTTCAAAACGAGGTGAGCTTGAGCCACCTTGAGAAGCTCAATTCTCTGGATAAACTTTTAGGCTCAGGGGGAAGGCATGGAGCAGAGGTAACAAGCTCTTTCTTGGGCTATGTTGGGCTATATAGGTTTGGTTTTCCTTCCTTCCTTCCTTCCTTCCTTCCTTCCTTCCTTCCTTCCTTCCTTCCTTCCTTCCTTCCTTCCTCTCCTCCTCCTCCTCCTTCTTGCTTTTTAATTGAATGTTATTTGCCATTAAGCAATGCAGATACACTTTCAAGAAACTCATAGCCTACTCTCCAATAGATACATCACAATGGAAATATCTGTACCTGGAAAAACAGAACTGCTGGGATTAAAAAATGTACTTTTTTGATAAAATAAGAATGACTATATTTATAATTATTAAAACTGGGTATGGGTATATTTGAAATTTTCCATTAGAAAAAGTTAAAGTAAAAAAAAATCTATTCTGCTAAGAAAATAAAATTAAAAAGAGTGTGAGATCCTTGAGGGTAGGGACTGAATCTTTTCTGCATGGGGATAAGGTTGTCTTAATAGACAACAAAAGTCAAATCAAGCGAGAGCCTAGTGGCAATGGGACCTATTCCTCGTCCCCCAGCAATACTGTCCTTCCAGGTAGTACTCCTCAAGCACCACAGGAAGCTATACCTGCGGGGTGGGATGACTGTGCTTAGGTCAGTTGAAGCTAACGTGACCACTCCCACTGGCCCCTCTGCCCACACTCCACCTACCTCAGCAATTCATTTCCACTGACCTCGGCTTTAATGTTCCCCTGTACATCTTTACCATAATTTAATACAAGAAACAGTGTTTGGAAAACCATCTCTCTATCAAAATATTCTTTTGTAAAGAATATTACTCAATGTTAATGTCCCTTGCAAAAGGCCCCATATGATAAATTCTGTTTAAAAGGTAATGCTAGAAGATAAGTTGTCTTTGCAGAGAAAATAATGTTATCAGTTAAAAATAATTAGCTACCTCATTGTATTACCTACTTCTACACGTGGAAAGCAAAACTTAATTTTTAGTTGCATACATATTTACCCTTTGTGCTATTTGCTTCCTTTCTCATTTTTATTATAGTTTTAATATTCGATTTGTGTTTCTATTTGTCTTTTGTGGCTTGATTGCATCTGTGTGTGTGGTTTTTTTTTTAATTATCCTCACCCAAGGATATTTTTTTCCATTGATTTTTTTTTTTTTTTTTTTTTTAGAGAGAGTGGAGGGAAGGTGAGAAGAGGGAGAGAGAGAGAGAGAGAGAGAGAGAGTGTGTGTTATCAATGTGAGAGAGAGATGCATGGATTAGTTACCTCCCACACACACCCCCACCCAGGGCCAGGGATCAAGTGAGCCTGCAACCTAGGTACGTGTCCTTGACCAGGAATCAAACCTGAGACCCTTTAGTCTATGGGCTGATACTCTAATCACGTAGCAAAACTGGCCAGGATGTATCTGTGTCTTTTATATGAAATTGCTTCAAACCCTTTTTAGAGAACCCACATTTGTTCAAGAATATAATATTTATATCTCCAGTCAAGGAGAATATCATACTGTATATTTTTCCATGCAAATTTACTTGCCCATTATATTTCCCATATCATATGGTCACTTCTAACATTAAATATCCTTGATATGATGAGAAAAAAACCCCTTTGTGGAAAGACTTTGGGTTCTTTGCCATTCCAATTATGAGGACTTAAACCTAAAAATATTCCTTATAACATATTCGATTTCGATAATATTTTCCCTCAGCAGAGATTATGAATGTCACAATGTGGTTTCTTTAAATTAAAAAAAAACACAACTAGTTTTTTTTATTTAGTTGCACTTTAAAGCTAACTATTTTATGAACATAATAGAATTGTGAAAAATACACTGTTTGAAATCCAGAATTTATATTACAATTTAATGATGTTTCAAACTTCAATGCAATGTGTTTTAGATTAGACAATATGTTTTTAAAAATTAGTTTTCTAGGTTTGCACAGGTGTGCTGATGAAATGTTTCAGGCAAATTTTATGACAATGATTTAAAAGCGGGGCTGCCGTGTGTATATATGTCATTCCTATTACCATAATGAACCTGAAACAAACTCTAAATTGGATTCTATACTTATGGCAAAAAGTAGCACCATGTACTGGAAACTCTGAATGGAGAAGGCTTGAGATTTCCACTTGTTTTCTCACTTCAACAACGCTCTGAGCGATTGCCTCAATTTTCTCATCTGCAAAATGGGGACAATCTTATTACTACTTGTCCTGCCTATGTCAAAGGAAGTATTTTTGCTTTTCTGTTACCTAGCTATATTCTACATAATTGGCATCTAAAAAAAGTCAGATGAAGCAAATTGTAATATGTATGCCATGATGAATGGCATTGTCCAGACACAGTACTTTGCTTTAGCAAGCCTTCCTTAAAAATACTGAAGTTCCCTATGAAGAGGAGTAGGAAATGCTTTCTGTTTCACAAGGTTGTCATGTGATTCAAGTGTGATAATACCAAAGCATTTTTACATTATAAACTGTTACATAGAGGTGGATATTGTTATAAGTAGCAAGTTATAATGTATCCAAAATGACAGTAGGTAAAAGGACCCAACAAACACTGCAAGAATATAAAAATTGAACACACCCGCTAAAGTGAAGTGACCCAATGTTCCCTTAGCACTCAAGGACATGACATAGAGGGTATCAGTTTATCTACATCAGAGGTGGGGCCCAGAAAATCATTTGGTCTGGCCCTGCCAAGGCATTAGGGGTGGGCCAATTAAATGTTTGACCAGCACTGGCTGGTTTTGCTCAGTGGATAGAACGTCGGCTTGCAGACCAAGAGGTCCCAGGTTCGATTCTGGTCAAGGGCATGTACCTTGGTTGCAGGCACATCCCCAGTGGGAGGTGTCCAGGAGGCAGCTGATTGATGTTTCTGTCTCATCAATGTTTCTAGCTCTCTATCCCTCTCCCTTCCTCTCTGTAAAAAAACCAATAAAATATATTTTTAAAAAATGTTTGACCAGGATTCAGGAAGATGGCGGCGGTATAGGCAGACGCGTCCCAGGTCGTGTCCCTGAGCAAATGGAGTGAGCAGCTGAAACTAGTAACATCCACCCCGAATTGGCGAAATTCCTCAGCTGGCGAGACGGTTTGCAGCCGGGAAGAGCAGAACTCCCCTGGAAAGCAGATCCAAGCAACAGCAACCTCCTGAGCACCACACCCTCTGCTGAGGAACAGCAGCTGTACGTGAAACCTCGCCCCACCAGCCAGAAGAGCCACCACAGCTGTGAACAGCACCCACCAGAGGAGTTGCTGCCAACTGAAGAGGAGCTGCTACCGCAACCGCCCGAAGAGCAACCGCAGACCAAGGAGTCACTGCCACCAAGGGAGCAACCACTGAACGACTCAACGTCTAGATATGTCAGTGAGATCAAACATGGGTAGACAAAGAAACCCCCAAAGGAAAGAAAAGGAGGACTCTCCAGAAAAGCAGCTAAGTAATACAGAGGCATGCAACATGACAGAAAAAGAATTCAGAATAAGGGTCCTAGAGTGCATAAACCGGATGGAGGAAAAAATCGACAACCTCAGCAAGAAGCAAGAAGAAACAGATGAAAAAATCGATAACATATGGAAGAAGCTAGAAGAAACAGATGAAAAAATCAACAACTTAAGTAAGACCCAAGAAGAAATGAAGAGTGATATAGCTGCAATGAAAAACTCCATTGAAAGTATCAACAGTAGACTAGGAGAAGCGGAGGACCGAATTAGTGATTTAGAAGACAAGGAAGCAAAACACACCCAAATTGTACTGCAATTGGAGAAAAAAATGAAAAGACAGGAGGAGAGCCTAAGGGAGCTTTGGGACAACATGAAACGAAACAACATACGAATAATAGGGGTACCAGAACAACAGAAGGATGAACAAGGATTAGAAAACCTATTAGAAGAAATAATATCAGAAAACTTCCCTGAGGTGGGGAAGAAAAAAGTCACACAAGCCCAGAGAGTCCCAAACAAGGTGAACCCAAAAAGACCCACACCAAGACACATCATAATTACCATGGCAAATGTTCAGGACAAAGAGAGAATCTTACAGGCTGCAAGAGAGAGACGGAAAGTTACATACAAGGGATCTCCCATTAGATTGTCAAATGATTTCTCAACAGAAACACATCAGGCCAGAAAAGAATGGACGGAAATTTACAAAGTGATGCAAAGCAAAGGACTGAATCCAAGAATACTCTATCCAGCAAGGCTATCATTCAAACTTGAAGGGGAAATAAGAAGCTTCACAGACAAAAAAAGGCTAAGGGAGTTTATCACCACCAAGCCAGCAATGCAAGGAATGCTAAAGGGACTGGTATAAAAATAAGAAATAAAAAGCTCAGAAAGAAAACAGCCACACAAAAACAGAAATGCCTACAAACAAGTACCTTTCAATAATAACTTTAAACGTAAACGGACTAAATGCTCCAAACAAAAGACATCGAGTGGCTGAATGGATAAAAAAACATGACCCATACATCTGCTGTCTACAAGAAACCCACCTCATTAGAAGGGACTCACACAGACTGAAAGTGAAAGGATGGAAAAATATCTTTCAGGCAAATGGAAAGGAAAAGAAAGCTGGGGTAGCAATACTTATATCGGACAAAATAGACCTCAAAGTGAAGGCCATAATAAGAGATAAGGAAGGCCACTTCATAATACTAAAGGGATCAAGACAACAAGAAGATATAATCCTGGTAAACATATATGCACCCAATGCAGGAGCACCCAAATTCATAAAAAAACTCCTGGAAGATATCAAAGGAGACATCGACAACAATACAATCATAGTAGGGGACTTTAATACACCACTGACAGCACTGGATAAGTCCTCTAGACAAATAATCAGCAAAGATACAGCAATCCTAAATGACTCACTAGATCAGATGGACTTAATAGACATCTTCAGAACACTTCACCCGAAAGCCAGGGAATATACATTCTACTCAAATGCTCATAGGACATATTCAAAAATAGACCATATATTGGGTCACAAGCAAAGTATCCCCAAATTCAAGAAAATTGAAATCATAAAAAGCGTCTTCGCAGACCACGATGGCATAATATTAGAAATAAACTACAATAAAAACAACCCAAAATACTCAAACACCTGGAAGCTGAATAGCATGCTATTAAATATTGATTGGGTTACCAATGAAATCAAAGAAGAAATTCGAAACATCCTGGAAACTAATGACAATGAAAACACAACAATCCAAAACCTATGGGACACAATGAAAGCAGTCCTGAGAGGGAAGTTTATAGCTCTACAGGCCTATCTCAACAAACAAGAAAAAATGGTAGTAAATCATCTAACTCTACAACTCAAAGAATTAGAAAGAGAGCAACAAGAAAACCCCAGAGTGAGCAGAAGGAAGGAGATAATAAAGATTAGAGCAGAAATAAATGACATAGAGACCAAAAAAACAATACAGAAAATCAATGAAACCAAGAGCTGGTTCTTTGAAAGGATAAACAAGATTGACAAACCTCTAGCCAGACTCACCAAGAAGCAAAGAGAGAGGACCCAAATAAACAAAATCAGAAACGATAGAGGCGAAATAACAACAGACCCCACAGAAATACAAATGATTGTTAAAAAATACTATGGACAGCTCTACTCCAACAAACTAGACAACCTGGAGGAAATGGACAAATTCCTAGAAAAATACAACATTCCAAAACTCAATCAGGAAGAATCTAAAAATCTCAACAGGCCAATAACTATGGAAGAAATTGAAGCAGTCATCAAAAAGCTTCCAGCAAACAAAAGCCCAGGACCAGACGGCTTCACAGGGGAGTTTTACCAAACATTCAAGGAAGAACTAAAACCTATCCTCCTCAGACTACTACAAAAAATTCAAGAGGAAGGAACACTTCCAAGCTCATTCTATGAAGCCAGCATCACCCTAATACCAAAACCAGGTAAAGACAACACAATGAAAGAGAATTACAGGCCAATATCCCTCATGAACATAGATGCCAAAATCCTCAACAAAATCTTAGCAAATCGGATCCAGCAGTACATCAGAAAGATCATACACCATGACCAAGTAGGATTTATCCCAGGGATGCAAGGATGGTACAATATCCGCAAATCAATAAACGTGATACATCACATAAACAAATTGAAAGAAAAAAACCACATGGTCATATCAATTGATGCAGAAAAAGCATTTGACAAAATTCAACACCCATTTTTGATAAAAGCTCTCAGCAAGGTGGGAGTAGAAGGATCATACCTCAACATAATAAAAGCCATATATGACAGGCCCACAGCCAACATCATACTCAATGGACAAAAACTAACACCATTCCCCCTAAGAACAGGAACAAGACAGGGATGCCCCCTCTCACCACTCCTGTTCAACATAGTACTGGAAGTGTTAGCCATTGCAATTCGGCAAGAAGAAGAAATAAAAGGCATCCAAATTGGAAAAGAGGAAGTAAAACTGTCCTTATTTGCAGACGACATGATATTATACATACAAAACCCTAGAGACTCCATCAAAAAGCTACTGGACTTAATACATGAATTTGGCAATGTAGCAGGATACAAAATTAACCCCAAGAAATCCAAGGCATTTCTATACACCAATAGTGAACTTTCAGAAAGAGAGATTATAAAAACAATCCCGTTTACCATCACACCAAAAAAATTAAGCTACCTAGGAATAAACTTAACTAAAGAGGTAAAAGACCTCTACTCAGAAAACTACAGGACGTTGAAAAAAGATATAGAGGAAGACATAAACAGATGGAAGAACATACCATGTTCATGGATTGGTAGAATCAACATCATTAAAATGTCCATACTACCCAAAGCAATCTATAAATTCAACGCACTTCCCATTAAAATACCAACGGCATACTTCAGAGATCTAGAACGAACTCTCCAAAAATTCATCTGGAATAAAAAAAGACCTCGAATAGCTGCAGCAATCCTGAAAAAGACCAAAGTAGGGGGGATCTCAATACCAGATATCAAGATGTATTACAAAGCCACTGTTCTCAAAACTGCCTGGTACTGGCACAAGAATAGGCATATAGATCAATGGAATAGAATAGAGAGCCCAGAAATCGGCCCGAACCAATATGCTCAATTAATATTTGACAAAGGAGGCAAGAACATACAATGGAGCCAAGATAGTCTCTTCAATAAATGGTGCTGGGAAAATTGGACAGATATATGCAAGAAAATGAAACTAGATCACCAACTTACACCGTACACAAAAATAAACTCAAAATGGATAAAGGACTTAAATGTACGACAGGAAACCATAAAAATTCTAGAAGAATCCAAAGGCAACAAAATCTCAGACATATGCCGAAGCAATTTCTTCACTGATACAGCTCCTAGGGCACTTGAAACGAAAGAGAAAATGAACAAATGGGACTACATCAAAATAAAAAGCTTCTGCACAGCAAAAGAAACCATGAACAAAACAACGAGAAAACCCACTGTGTGGGAAAACATATTTGCCAATGTCATATCTGATAAGGGCCTAATCTCCAAAATTTATAGGGAACTCATACAACTTAACAAAAGGAAGATAAACAATCCAATCAAAAAATGGGCAAAGGACCTAAATAGACACCTTTCAAAAGAGGACATTCAGAAAGCCAAGAGACATATGAAAACATGCTCAAAGTCACTAATCATCCGAGAGATGCAAATCAAAACAACAATGAGGTACCATCTCACACCTGTCAGACTGGCTATCATCAACAAATCAACAAACGACAAGTGCTGGAGAGGATGTGGAGAAAAAGGAACACTTGTGCACTGCTGGTGGGAATGCAGACTGGTGCAGCCACTATGGAAGACAGTATGGAGTTTCCTTAAAAAACTGAAAATGGAACTCCCATTTGACCCTGTGATCCCACTTCTAGGAATATATCCCAAGAAACCAGAAACACCAATCAGAAAGGATATATGCACCCCTAGCATAGGGGTTGTGCTGTTCATAGCAGCACAATTCAGCATAGCTAAGATCTGGAAACAGCCTAAGTGCCCATCAGTAGATGAATGGATTAGAAAACTGTGGTACATCTACAGGATGGAATACTATGCTGCTCTAAAAAGGAAGGAACTCTTACCATTTGCAACGTCATGGATGGAACTGGAGAGCATTATGCTAAGTAAAATAAGCCAGTCAATGAAGGAAAAATACCACATGATCTCACTCATTCATGGATAATAGAGACCATTATAAACTTTTGAACAATAATAGATACAGAGGCAGAGCTGCCTCAAACAGATTGTCAAACTGCAGCAGGAAGGCCGGGGAGGGTTGCAGGGCAGGAGGTAGGGGGGTAAGAGATCAACTAAAGGACTTGTATGCATGCATAGAAGCATAACCAGTGGACATAAGACATTGGGGGATAGGGGAGGCTAGGGGACTGTCTAGGGCGGGGGGATAAAATGGACACATATGTAATACCCTTTGTAATACTTTAAGCAATAAAAAAAAGAAAAGAAAAAAAAAATGTTTGACCAAATATAGCAGGCTAATTTTTAAATTGATAATTTTGTTTGGCTCATTAAATGAAATTATAAATATCCAAATGGCCCTTGGCAGAAAAAAGGTTCCCCACCCCTAATCTACATGAATCTCTATTATACGAATTGTCCTCCTAAAAAAATCAAACTCCATTAACAGTCTTAGTGATTCACTAAGAATGCTTCAAAAAAATTAGATTTACATTTGAAAAACAGAAATGTGGAGACACAGTTCAGCTACTTACAGCAGTGATGATGGGAAAACTGACCACAGCGCTGAGGGAGTGATTAGCGATGAACCAGCAGCAGGTGGCTATTGCCCAAAGTATTCCTGACAGAAATCCTGAAACACGCAAACATAACACATTTACAAGACACGTTCCCCTCCTGAAAAATTCACGCTCTAGAGTTAGCAGAAATATGAAAGTACACATATCAGTGCAGTCCTATACACACTGTTGGCCAACTTGTGTATGCTTTATGATCATGTTGGAAACCAAGGGATTGCTCTTGATCGCTGTGGGTACCATTAGCAATCCTCTCAACTTATTGACATGAAATAAAGTACCCAAAGTAGTAAGTGAGTAAAGATTGGGTATGGGAGAGGGGCTTGGGAAAGACACTGGATCTGAACATGCTCTGCAATCACCATTCACTCTAAACCATGAACATAACAATATTTGAAATTCTGAATGTTGCCTGTAGCTAAGGAAAAAAACCTAGAATTTATATGAAAATACCAGCTAAAAATTTCATGATAATTTAACTAAGCCTTCTATCATCCTATTTAATAAAAGCCTAATATGCTAAGTGTCCGGTTGTCCAGTTGCCTGTTCAACCAATCAAAGTGTAATATGCTAATGATATGTTAAGACAGCTCAACTGTTTTCTATGACATGCACTAACCACCAGGGGGCAGACAGTCAACTGGTTGACCAGTTGCTATGATGTGCACTGACCACCAGGGGGCCAATGCTCATGCAGGAGCTGCCCCCTGGTGGTCAGTGCACTTCCACGGGGGAGCGCTGCTCAGCCAGAAGCCAGGCTCACACTGGCGAGTGCAGTGGTGGTGGTGGGAGCCTCTCCCGCCTCTGTGACAGTGCTAAGGATGTACGACTGCTAGTTTAGGCCAGATATCCCCTGAGGGCTCCTGGACTGTGAGAGAGTGCAGGCTGGGCTGAGGGATACCCTCCCCCGCCTCAAGTGGACAAATTTCGTGCACGGGGCCTCTAGTTTTCTATAGTGGTCTAGTGGTATAATGGCACACTTTGGCTTAAATCAATCAGGCACTCAAAAAAAAATGAGTCTCTGACATATGCTTTTATTTTGTTCTATAAAAATTTTACTTGTGGACCTTTACTCCAAATTGACTGTAGAAAAATCGTAAGTGAGAAATTATATATGTATATTTTTTTATCATCAATGCCTAATGGATTAAGTCCAAAAGCATGTGCATTTAACACTCTTTTTGAGCTCTCAAACAATTTCTCCTTACTTTTTGGGAAAAAATGTTTGCTTTCCCAAGTAACTGCAGATTCCTATTCATTGATACTTTTAAAAATCAAAGTCATAGGACTCTGACTTTTAATGGGAATCCTTAGATAGTAAAGAAGAAATAATAAAGTCTGATGGTCAAGATGTTTTGACATAGGAAATGATCTTAGATTCATTGTTCAAATTTTAGTTCTATAATAATGACTAGCATTTTACATTCAGTTTCATGGCTTATAAATCCTTCATATTTGGTGGTGAACTGGGCCAAAGCAATAAGTGAATGAAAACACACACACACACACACACACACACACACACACACACACACACACAGAATGTCTTGATTTCCATAAGATGATTATTTATGTTAAACTAGAGGCCTGGTGTACGGATTCGTGCACCGGTGGGGTCCCTCGGCCTGGCCTGCAGGGATCAGGCTGAAACTGGCTCTCCGATATCCCCCAAGGGGTCTCAGATTGTGAGAGGGCACAGGCCAGGCCAAGGGACCCCACTGGGGCACAAATCCATGCATCAGGCCTCTAGTATGCATATAAGATCGTTGGTTAATCTCTTTCCACCCTCCCCCTCCCCTCTTTCTTCTGAGATTTATCAGTCTGTTCTGTTTCCATGCCTGTGGTTTCTGCTCCTGCGTTGAGCATCTGCCCCCTGGTGGTCAGTGCATATCATAGCTACCAGCCGATCAGCTGGTCACTTAGGCTTTTATATATATAGATGAGTAAAGAATGACATTTTTACAGAGTGAGAAGATTTTCTGTAGTAAATATTCTTACCTGGCAAAACTGCTTCAGGATATAGTTTAGGATTATTTTTCATGGCTATACAGTAAGCCAGAAAGTAGATGGTACTCATAAGAAAGATGCCACTGGCATGTGCAAAAACATAGTCTAAATCTGAAAATAGATTATAAAGCTCTCATGTGTATCATTTCAGTCACATCAAATGTAGAGTTCTAAAACAAAACAAACTTACAAAAATGAATCTTAAACATAAAGGCACCATTAATTATATTTTATCACCCTAGTTTTCTGCATGCCCTTTATATAGAGTTATAATTAACATATTTAAAACCAGAAAATAGTAAGTAGTAAATTAATTACTATAATCAAATCTAAAAGGCTCGCTTTTATGATCATCTTTGGAAAGCTAAATAAGAAGCACCATGTGAATACAATGTTAATATCTCCTTTTTAAGAATAGTATTCAGACCTAATTTCTCTAATGGCTGCAGCAATTGTAGCAAATTTCCAGTAGGCTGTAGTGGGAGGGGTGTGTGTAAAAATTTTGGGGGGGGACTGCTAATTTCATATGGTCTAGTGATCAATCTGGAGGCCAGTATCGCTGTTGCAGATGACATCTATATAGAAGAATATTAGGAAGTTACCCCAAAGAGAGTTTTATTCATTTGATTATTATAAACCTAATTACACAAGGGATTTAACACATGATGGTCTGAGAAACCCCAACTCCACTGACTGTTTAAGAGAATGGTACTTTGACCATAAAGATGAGTGTCTTACAGGTCCCGGCTGGGAAGGCCACATTGGACTCAATGGTTCTCTCAACTAAAATTCTGACTTAAGATAAATGGTCATATTTAGGGAGGAAAGTTTGAAGATCAAAGAGTTTGTCTATTCTTCAAAAATATTAAGTGCTACTTCTGGATCACATAAGAACACCACACCCACCCATTTATGCACTACCGCAAATGGCAGCATATCATAACAATAAAAAGCACAGGCCGGCTGGGTGGTAATCCTCAATCCACTACTTGCTAACTTTGAGACTTGAGTAAATTACCAAATCTCTTTCTGTCTTAATTTTTCAATTATAAAACAAGAATAATTAACAGACCCTAGCTGGTTTGGCTCAGTGGATAGAATATTGGCCTGGGGACTGAAGGGACCCAGGTTTGATTCCGGTCAAGGGTACATGCCCGGGATTGTGGGCTCAATCCCCAGTGTGGGTGGTGCAGGAGGCAGCCAATCAACAGTTCTCTTTCATCATTGATGTTTCTGTCTCTCTCCCTCTCCCTTCCTCTCTAAAATCAATAAAAAATATATTTTAAAAAAACAATAATTAATAGTGTTCAACCAGTAATGTTGTTATAGTGGAATTCAACCAATAACATTGCTACAAATGAGTTATTATTGTAATGAGCTTAGAACAGTGCCTAGCAGAGCATGCACTACTTATGTGTTTGTTAAGTAAGTGAAATAAAAATTATGCCCACCCCCTAGAATTATTTTGTAATAAGCTGTGTTCCTTTCAGGCTATACTAGTATTTGAGTTGCCATAAGAAAGATCCCCAAGAACTGACTGCACTATTTGTGAAAAGAAATTGCCAAGGACATTGTTTATTATGTCCCAGTACCAAGGACAACTGTACTCCTGAGCAATTAGTTGCTTTTATATCTAGTGTTCGCTAAATCGTGGGACTGATCTGATGTCCACTGTGGCTATAAGAAATCTTAGAGCCAGACTTGTGGTTCATTTCTCTCATGTGTACAAATGTAGTACAGTTTTTAAACTGATTTCTGGTCCCGTTTGATTTTTTCACTCTTGTTTTTCTTTCTCTCTTAATTTATCCCATGTGTTATTCTATCTTTAATAGTTTTTATCCTTCAAAAATGAAAAGAGTAAAAATATGAGAAGTTTTTGTATAAAATCTAAAAGAAAAGGGAGAAGTTAAAGTTTGGATACTGTTCATGGGGCTGAGTATAAAAAGGGACAAAGCAACTATGGTACCTATTCAAAGTCTATCTGCTCATCTAAAGTTAAAATCCTAGCCTTTCCATCAGTCTTTCCCCCATGACCTTGGCCCTCTGAACTTCTCCCTTATTTGAACATCAACCATATTAATTTTCTGTACCATCTCATTTAGAATTTTATTACCCACGATCTCATTCTTTTATCACTTCGTGGGTGTAAGCCATATTCCAACACCTTTTCATCTCCTTTTGAGCCTCCACAAGGCTATTGCACGCAGTGTGAAATTTATGCCTAAGAAATTAATTCTATCACTACAAGCAGATTATTAGGGAGCATTAGGTTGGGCCTTTCAATGTACCACTCTGTGCTTAGAAAGTAATATCCTCTGATTAAATAGGCTCTACCATGACCTTTAGGAAGCTTATACTTAGATCATTACTTGATTTTAAAGTACTTTGTACTGGATTTTAGGGTTGTTTTTTTTTTTTTTTTTTTGTGTGTGTGTGTGTGTGTGTGTGTGTGTGTGTGTGTTTGTGTTTTTTTAAAGAGAACACATATTTTCTCACAGATCACCTAACAGAAAATAATCTCCAAAGCTTAGTGTAAAGCTGGAAGCCATGTGTTAAGATCCAAGGAATTGAATGCTGACTAGAGTAAAGTTGATTATATTTTTATTTTAAAGATCACATGAAAATACTCAAACAGTCTTTTATTACTTTTAATCTTTAGTGCCTAATTCACCACTTGCAATGAAAAAGTAAGATCAAATGTATGTACCAGTATTTACTATGATCACATTCTTTTTTTAATTAAATTTATTGGGGTGACATTGCTTAATAAAATTATATAGGTTTCAGGTGTACAGTTGAATAATACATCATATCAATACTGTATTGTGTGTTCACCACCTCAAGTCAAGCCTCCTTCCATCACCATTTATTCCTCTTTACCCTGTTCTACCTCTCCACACCGCCTCCCCCCACCCCCTTTCCCTCTGGTAAGCACCATACTGTTGTCTGTGTTTATGAGTTTTGTGGGTTTTTGTTGTTGTTTTGCTTAATCCCTTTACCTTTCTTAAGTAGAAAATCAGGTATTAAGTTTATTGATAAAGTAAAATAACATTTTACTCTTACCATACTGGCTTGCCCCTGCATATATACTATCATTTCTTTTGCTGTGGTCCTTGATATAAATGATTGGCACAAATGTGGATCCATAGAGTATTCCAGATATCACTGCAAGACTGCAGCCCCTTAAAAAAACAAACAATTGCTATTAATCTTGGTCGAAAGCAATATTTCTGTCAAACACACAAATGGAATCATAATTAAAGCATGCTTCAAAATGCAAATCACAAGCAATTATGCAGAAATCGCCCATCTATCTCAAGCTCTATGACTGGGCAGAAGTCAAGGAAGTACCCTGCAGGGTCAGAATGCCATCAGGACTAAGAGTGCAGCTTAGGTCTTCCACTGTCTAATTCTGGAAATGCATGATTTACAGAAATTATATTTGGATTATCATTATAAATTGTCATTACATAGTTGAGAAGATTGCTATCATATTATACAGTCTCCATAAATAAACTTGGCTCTCAAATTAAATTATGAAGTATTTGTGGACTGACACTATGCCCTCTGCTTTAAAAAACACACACACACACACACACACAAAAAAAAACCACTGTATAATATCCAGCACAGGGCTAGGGCATACTAAGTACTCAACCCAGGTTTGTTCAAAACAACTGTGAAGATCCACCAATTTGCCTGTGTCTTATTGACGGTGGCATGGTCAAGAGGAAGTGCTAATTTAATAGAACAATCTAGATAGTCAATGTAAAACTATTGCTTTTTGTAAGAAGGAAATGTTTCTTTTTAAGTCCTGGAGTTATGTTGCCTCCTCAGACTTGCTATCTACATGAAGCAAGTGTTTCCAATGATTTGGGGGGTAGATGACTAGTATTTCTGAAGAATCCCTTTGACTTCATACAAAAGGACAATGGCATGAAACAGGAAAGAGTTTTAGGCAAAAACCATCCTTTCCAAACTTAAAAAGAAATTCTTGAAGTCTATTTTAATAGAGCTTTAAGGAATATAAAATTGTTGAAGCTCAGAGGGCCAACTCAGCAATGAGCTCTATTCACATTAGAAATCCTATGTCATGGTGAAGCCTGGACCTCACAGGCCTGGAGGCATGTCCCCAACACAGGCCAGGCTAATAGACCAGGTCTGGCTAATTGTGAGGCAACTAAACATATTTTTCTGAACAAACATTTCCTTAATCAAGGAGATGCTTTGTGAAAAAAATATTTTGTTTGAGAGATCTGTGTTATTCTGGAAAAAAAAAGAGCAACGTATTCAATTCTTCCAAAGCTTGTGTATGGCTTTCATTTGTTCTATTTATTCAAATGTTTACTGAGCATTTTCTATGTGCCAGACACTACCTCTTTCTCATTGAGAGGATATTGTATATGCTCACAGAAGAAATGCTTTATATTCTTGAGGCAAAAGAAGATGTCACCACATACAGTCCAAAACAGCCATCAGTTGTAAAATGCAAGCAAGTATACTATTACAGAGTTTCATAAATCTTTGTCAGTCCCTAAAACCCTAAAATATAGGGGCTGATGCTGAGCCTAAGTCTTTCAGTTCTTATGAAGTCATTTGGGGAAGGAAGGTAGGACCTATACAGAAACAAATATTCTCCTATATCTGACAAAGAATATCTTGGGATTACAAACCTAACAACAGTAGAGAGATTTCCCGTGGAAGGTGCACATCCTGAGCAAGGCAGTACAAGGGACGTGAGTTGCCTAATTCAACTGCGATTGCTGTTCGCATGCTGTGGCCTGTACGACCGCTTTTACTTTCGGTACAAAGGTCTTGCAAAACGAGATTGCTTTTTATCAGCTACTTTTTGGCTAAGGATACTGCAGCGGCTTAGGAATTCCTTGAAGCACTGAGACAGAGGCCCTCTGCATCTAAAAATTCAGCAGGGAACAAGAGAGTCTCTCCATCATGGAGCTGAAAAAGTCAGAGCTCGTGTTACCATTTTCTTCTTGAACTCAGACCACTACCACTTCACTCTGGCCATCTTTGCTTTAATCAGATAGAAAACAGAATACGAGACCCTCTTCTTACACCATTCGGGACTGCACTGGAGAAAGTTGATCCACCCAGGAGGAGCCAGGACAGGGGTCTTGAGTTTTGTTGGTCACCTGTTGAAAGCACAGGCACAAACCAAAACAAGAACAGCAGTCACTTGTTAATCACATTGGTGACAAAAAGATTTTCAGCGTTTTCCTCTACTCAAACATACTTTAAAATATGAACATTTTGTACTATGTGTTCTGATTCTGTGGATATTCCTGGACTCAAATGTTTCTGACTCTGGCCCTCTTTTACTTTGGAACTGGTGGGTGGGTAACTGGTAAGTTGTCCGTGTAAATTTTTTTTTTTTTTACAGTTTTAACATAGGTCAATTTTGAGACACCTATCAAAATTAACAAAAGTGATTATTGCTTGTTTCATTTGCATATTTTGGTAATCTGTTAAATTAAAACCAAGGAAAACTCAAAGATCCTTCTACTATGGACTGCCTTAGATCAATAGGCATTTTATTCAAAAAATTTCAATACTGAAATTAGTTAATAAGACATTTCTAGCCATGTTTCAAAATTAGGCTAATATTCTAAGTCAGAAGAAAATGATGAGCAAATTCATAGAATTTCTACTATTGTAATCATCCCTGCCTCTTAGCTGAAGTTTCTTGATGTCATACTCCTGCTTTTGTAAGAGATAAGAAACTAGATTTGCATTCTTTTCCATGTGCTAAGCCACATTCTCCTATGGCCATAACTGAGGAGCTCACGGTGTGTGCTTGCACACTAACCGATTATGCTGTTTATGCTTGAACCTTTAAACTTGCTTTACTTGTATCCTTCCATTTTGCCTAGAAAAATCTTGCCTACTATGTATCTATTACCAAGTTGCATTTATGTTTTTGTTCCTTTGCTGGAAGGGTGGTTGGTTAGGAGACATATCTGAATCCCTAAAGTGGGCAAGGAATAGCAGACACCTTCTCTCACCCCCCAGCTCCTCCATTCTCCTGAAAACATTTCCCTGATTAGAGATGCTTCTGGATTAATACATCTCTTTTCTCTTACACTTAAGCTAATTTTATTTAACTTTAGTGTCAGTTTAACTGAGGTTTCAGTCACCTTAGCTGGTAAGAGTTTTTTGTTTTTTTTAAAAAATATATTTCATTGATTTTTTACAGAGAGGAAGGGAGAGAGATAGACAGTTAGAAACATCGATGAGAGAGAAACATCAACCAGCTGCCTCCTGCACATCTCCCACCGGGGATATGCAGGTACATGCCCTTGACCGGAATCGAACCCGGGACCTTTCAGTCCGCAGGCCGACGCTCTATCCACTGAGCCAAACCGGTTTCGGCAGCTGGTAAGAGTTTTGATAAAAGAAGAAGAAAGAGAGAAGATAGGATTGATTTTGAAGTAAGGAGTAGAGGCAGCACCTTCCAGGGAGGCACTACCTCAGTGCAGGTGTGAAACGGCAGACTCAGAGGCAGCCAGGGGGCACTTATTGTGCACCAGGCACTGCCTGTAGAAGAGAATCTTGGATAGGAAGGACTAGAGGCGGGGCTCACAGCAATGAGGGGTTACCCGGAAATCACTTTTGCATAAGTAGTCCTGGCACTTCTGCTGTGTCAGATCTCTTCTAAAGGTTACTCCTATTTAATCTAGATTTGCTATTCCAGGTTAATTTAGGTTCATCAAAGTCAAACAGTCACTCCTTGCATATTTCCTGTCTTTGCCTTTGAGTGGAATAAGATATGGCAGAAAAGAGAAATAGGATGAAAATAAAGTCCAATTCCTACTTTTGAATGCCTCGACCTACACTTTCATTGGCTTCCTCTGACCTATGCCCCCTGGCCTCCTTGAGCTACTTTAAAACCTCCTTCCTCTTTCTTTCTAAAGTAACGTTCATATTTCTCTACAACACTCAGGGTTCTCCTATTGCAGAAATCCTTAAATCACCCCAAAATGTGGGCTTGTGTAGTATATATACATCTTCTAGTAGCAACCTACTGTTAACAAAAATAAATAGGCTCATGTGTTTGCTGAGAAGCTTTCCTGGGGAAATATTGTAATAAATAAGATATCTTAGATAGCCCTGAGTAGAAAAACAAAACAAAACATGAAAAACACCACCTTCTCATCTTTGTTTCGAATCAATGCATTTTCCTTTTATCTTAATTTTATGCTTCAAATAAAGTCGTCTCTCAGGCTAGACTTACATGCTCTGTCATTAATGGTGTGGTATCCATAGAACACGTGTTCTTTGGTATTTCACTTTTGATGAAGAAACATATGAAAGTACTGTAAAGAAAATAAATTTTAGTGATATTTATCTTAAACCCTGGTTCAAGTAAAACGCAGCTTAAATAAAATTCTAATGGCATGATGATCACTTCCAAACTGCCCCTTCAGCAGTCCTGCCATTTCTCCAGGACTGCCATTCTCTTTGGCGTCTCTCATGGTACTTAACTGTTAACAGGTTAAAAGCTAAACTCATAGGCTTTCCCCCTAAATCAGATCTTTCTCTTGATTTTCTTGTTTCAGTTCATGGGTCCATCTTTGTTTTCATTCCTGCTTAACCCTGGAATTACATGGTAAAATAATACAAATAAAAAATACCTTGAAATAATATTTTTTTTACCATTATATTGACACCCCTCCCCAAATTTTAATAGCATCTCAGTTGGAAACAGGTAACCCTAAATGGGAGTGCAGAACTGTGCAACTCCCATGAAGGAGAGTGAGGCCATCTACCAAAGCTACAGGTGTGTCTACTCCTGATCTAAACAATAAAGTATAAGAACAGTTTACCTAGCATTTACATTGAATTAGGTATTATGTGTAATCTAGAAACTATTTAAAGTATATGGGAGGGTTGTGTTATATAAGGGACTTGAGTATTTGTGATTTTGATATCTGCAGGGGGTCCTGAAACCAATACCCCATGATACTGAGGGACAACTATGCAGGGAGAAAGATGCACCAGGAAGAAGGGTTGAAGCTAACACTGTGGAGGATATGCCAGATTAAGGAGTCAAATTTATTCTGAATCCAATGGGGAGACTGAAGAGGTTCTTAAATAGAAGAGTGATGACCAGATTTGATAGCACATACAAGCAAGTCAAACTGGCAAAAGGAAAGAATGGGACTAGGGAAATGAAATGTGAGGTATATAGATGGGTAGGTAGTAAGGACCCAAAGTAATGGAAAACCTGTGAAATATTCAGACGTTTATAACATTAGATAAAGGGTGGTGCATGAAATAAAAAAAAACATTAAGGTAACAGGTTTTGATTTTGAAACATTATGGCTAATACCTTTTATGAAAAGAGGGAATTCGGGAAGAGGAACCAGGTTGCAGGGAAGGGTAAAATGAGAAAAGTAATTCTGATTGGAAAATGCTGAAGGCAAAGAGAAAGGAACTAAACGTCTAGTGTTTGTAGAGTGCTGAATTAGCAGAGTCTTCATGCACAATTTATTTTACTTCAAATTGAGTAGGAGAAGCCTGGGAGGCAGCCATGTAGAGATGTCTATCCTGGTCTATAGATAGATGTAAGGACTGTGGCTCTGAAAAGGTAATGGCTAAAAACAAAGATTTGGGTTTCCTCACAGCACAACTCTCATGAGAAGACCAATTAAGTGAGAAGAGAAAAGAATACAGAATAGACCCCGGGGAAATCCAGAGCATTAATTTTAATTGAAAAGAAAATCTGCTCTTGTATGAACTCTGACTCCTGGATCTTCATTAAGACATGTTTAAGAGCAGGGGTCCTCAAACTTTTTAAACAGGGGGCCAGTTCACTGTCCCTCAGACCGCTGGAGGGCCGGACTATAGTTTAAAAAAAAACTATGAACAAATTCCTATGCACACTGCACACATCTTATTTTGAAGTAAAAAAACAAAACGGGAACAAATACAGTATTTGTATTTGCATGTGGCCCGCGGGCCGTAGTTTGAGGACCCCTGTTTAAGAGAGTGTGCTGGATGCTGTTTCTTGGTGTCAGCTCTACTCCCACCCTTATAGATTCTCTCCTAAATATGAGGCTTAGAAGACTGAAATCTACATTTTCTCAAACCGTATTGACAGCGAGGTTTTGCCAATGGAAGTCACATGCACAAGATTAAAAGGTGGGAGACACCATTTGGTTTTGGTGATGGCTCCAGAAATTTCAGCAGCAGCGGCCGGTCGCTCAGGGCGGAGGCAGCTGTTCAGCAGTACTGGCCAGATGTGAGCTCTGGGTGTATGATGGTTCCACCTTCCTCCTCCGGCTCCGCTGGGCCTTATAACACCTTGTAAACAATCCCGTGTGCTAAATCCTCTGCTGTTTAAAATATCTTAAACAGCGCTACTGGTTGTAAAGACTGACTGATACTCGCAGGAAGTCACTGCTTGTCAATATTGTCAGTGCACCAAGGAACACAGAAGGCTGATGGACCTTGGGCGTTAGCAGGGCTGATGCTAAGCATTGACTGCTGAGTTAGTGGTGGCTCAAGGCAATTCCTTAACCTGATAATCCTTTTACTGTTTACCAAACTTTACCTTTGATATGCCTGTATGCATCGCTAGAGGGCAAGACATGTATCTAAAACTGAATAAAAAGTAGAGGGGACCCAGTCTCGGGAGTATCTCTTCAAGAAAGAGGTCTCCACCTGGCCCCCATGCCTTCTAAATTCATATTTCTTGTATAGCATTTTCATTCGTGCGTTGGCCCCTCCTTCAGATCCTGAACCCTGCCGCAAAGGTTGTGACAGATACTTTTACCTTAGATATGATATAGGACAAATGTAAAGCTAGAAATGACCTACCCAATCCTTTAAAAACTGGATTGTGTGGAGAAGAGAAACAATAATTTCAATTTAAAAAAAGAAAAGCAACACCCTAAACCAATGTAACCTTATTCTAAGTTTTTTTATACTGACCATGAAACTCCAAGCTTATTCAATGAATGCCCTTCAAACTGATTTAACTAATTTAAAATAATGAAATTAAAGGTCCCAGAAATTCCTGTCAGTAAAGAAGCACAGAAGGAAGCACCACAGAAAAAGCTCATCGCATTTCCCTGCCTCAGACAAGCTTCAAACCAAGCTACATGAGTCCCCGGGTACACTGATTAGCCATAGAATTGGACTACACATATCCAAAGGGGAAACAGCAAATAAACATGAAAGTTGTTAATAAAAATGACTATTACGATAAAAATTACCCAATACATAGAGCAACGTGTCTAGTACCATACATACCACTTAATATATTTTATTTCATTTAATTCTCAAAATATATTACAAGGCTGGTGCAATTATTATCACAAATTTATCCCCAGAGGAAGAAATCAAAGCTTTGGAGAAACTAAGTGATTTTTCCAATGTCACACAGGTAGAGGTGGTAGAACATGAATAATTCGTAATTTTAGAGAATGTGCACTTTCTGCAGAAAGAAGAACTATGGAGAAAAAGAATGCCTGATGGACTGGATAAATGGCCTTATTTACCATTAAAACGAAAGCATGCTAACATTACAATTTTTGGGTGCAAAGAAACTGTTTTTGAGAGAGCTATTCAAAGCTGTATGAATTATGCAGAATTCATAAAATTGCCTCCAACCAAAAATGTCAGGAATCCGCTATTTTAGAAGAATCTATGTTATTTCTTCTCCAATTGGCCTGGAACCACTCTCTAAGGCAACATTTCAATGACAAAGAGATTGTTTCTGGAGTGTGGCTGGGGAAAAGCTATCATTGCAGGAGGAAGGGAAATATAGCATTCTTTCCCTGAAGAATAAGAAAAGCACTAAAATCTTCCCAGGCAGGGCTATCCATTATGTGAAGCACTGACCGGGAATATAAATGAAAGGGGACTGCATGTAAGGTGACCTAATTTCTGTTAGAGTTCTATTGACTGAACACGGCCATTTAGAGATTCTAAGTCATTTTCATCCTCATTCACATAGAATGTACAACTAGGCACAGATACATCTAAAAGTGTTTCAGTGGGTGTATGTTTGCATAGGTGATAGAGCTGGTTACCTATGCAAGAGTTAAGAAGAGTTGAGTGAAGTGACAGGGAAGTAGAAACTGGATGGCACAGAGTAAGTGAGTAATAATAAGAGAGAATCAGTGGTTATTCTGGGGGCCTCAGGAAGCCAGCATAACATTTACTTACATGGCATTAGTTAGTTTGCAAACTACTTGAATGTGCTACTTAATTCTAATTTTGAACCAAAGTATTATGATTTTTTAAATATTACAGATAATGAGAGTGAGCTTGAAAGAAGCTAAGTGACTTCCTCAGGGTCTCAAGGCTTTTGAGAGCTAGGGCTTGGCCCCCTGGCCTCAGAGCTGGCATTTTTTTGTCCTCTCAAGCCAAGTCTGTCTGTGTAAATGAAGAATCTGAGGGAAAGCAGGGCAATGTATGAAAAAATGAGGGTTTAAAAAATGTCAACAAGCCAGGATCTTTAACAAGTACTCTAAATGTTTAAAAGAAGAGATAAATCATTAGAAATAGATGTGTACCTGACCACTGATAGTCCCGCGCCCAAGTAATTTAGCAGTGGCTTTGCGACTTCTTCTGCGTCCATTCCAAACCAGCCAAACCTGGAAATTGAAAAAGTCACATCAACCTCAATGCTGTTAAAAAGTGTTCATCATAGTGATTAAGAGGATAGACTCAGGGACAGATTCCTGGACTCCAATCATAGGTTCCTCACTTAATGGGACTTGGATAACTTATCTTCACTGTGCCTCAATTTCCCATCTTTAAATGAAGGCAATTATAGCCACCTTATAGGTTTCTTATGAAGATAAAATGAGTTAATATATGTAAAAAGTATTTGTGAATGTCCCTTTCATACTAAGATTTAAGGAAGAAGAAAAACAAAAAATGAATTGAGCAGGTAATTGAATGCTAATTGGTTGGTGGCGATTTTGCATAACATTTGAAACAGACTCATAAATAGCTGCAAGTTCTTTTTATTTTCATGCCTTGACGTTGTAGTGGTCATTACCAATAATCACTGTGAAACATCTAGCAGGATGAGAGGAGGAGGCAAGAAGAAAAGAGAAAATAGTACATGTGAAAAGCAGGGTAGGAAATCGGGAAAGGACAGAAAAGAATGTATGGGAGGTGAGTGGTTTTGTTATTGTTGAAGGTGTTGTAGTGCTTAAGTGGGAAGACCAGATGAAAAAGTAAGGTCAGAGTAATAGCCTCCGTTTTATTCATTTTCCCAAACTCTACTTGAATGTTAATCTCAATGCTGACCAAGAGCAGTGCAATGCAGCCCACTAGCACTTTCTGTGATCAGGGGCCTGTTCTACAGCTGCACTGTACAAGTGGGGAGCTTCTAGGCAAATAGGGCTATTGAGCATTTGCAATGTGGTTAGTTCAACTAAGGAACGGAATGTTTAATTTTTCCCAATTTTAATTAATTTAACTTTATAGTTTTAGCTTTTTATTATTTATTATTTGTTTTTTTAAAATTGAATTATGTGCAGTTCTAAGATACATCATCTATGTGTATTGCATTGTGTTTACCACCCAAAGTCAAATCTTCTTCTGTCACCAAATATTTGACCCTCTGTATCCTGGACTACTTCCCAACCTCCTCCCATTGGTAACCACCATACTGTTGTAACTTTAAATATAAATGGTCACGTGTGGCCTGTGGCAACTATATTGAACAGCCCAGCTCTAGAACTGGGCTTGGCAAACTCTTCTTTAAAGAAGCAGAGAGTTAATATTTTAGGCTTTGTGGGCCAGATGGTACCTTGCAACTACTCAACTCTGTCATTGTAGTCTAACAGCAGCCACAGACAATACTTCAATGGATAAGTTTGGCTGTGTTCCAATGACACCTTCTTTACAAAAATGCCCGGGAAGCTGGGCCCTAGTCTGTTGTCCCTGGCCCAGACTCTAGAGGGAAGAATATATGCTTTAGAACTAGACGACCTGGGCGGAATCTGGCTTATTAGCTCCGTGACCTTCAGCAAGTTACTCAACTTCTTTGTGTATAAGATAGTGCTTACCTCATATATTTGTGAAAATGAGCCAAGAATGATGCATACATACAACATGTCTAACAAACTGTCACACAATAGAAAGGGGAAGATAAACATCAGTTCCCTTCCTCTCTCCCTAGTGTTTTTTCCCCCCTAGAGATAATTTTTTACTATATCCTGATCAAATATCTAGATCACTTTGTTAGAACTTTGGGTAAATAATAATTAAAGGAAGCATATTTTATGCATATATCTTGGCTATAATCTCTAAAATGATAAGAATCATATGTTATTCCTCGCTAGACTAATCACTAACACTAGCCTTCCATAGAGTATGAACTCAGAGAATCTTAGTTGAAACAGTTAGCTTTGTGTTACCTTGAGCTTGTCCAACCAGTTAAGGCATTTAATGATCCCCAGATTAAGAGTCCAAGACCTAAACCAATGGTTTTCATCACTGGGACAACAGCAATGTTCCCTGTAACACACAGAAGAAAGGTATTATTTTTCAATACAGAAAATACATTTATAAATGGAATTAACTTTTATTTTAACTTCAATGGAAATTTATGGGATTTGGATAAATTTAGTGAAGCACAATTCCTCATTTTTAAAAATAAAATAACCACATTTTTTTGCATTTAAACCCATGATTATGATTGCTAAAAGAATGAGGCTTAGAGAAAAATCATACAAAAATATTGAATAGGTCCTTGTCTAACTACACTAATACTCTTCAACCTTAACTTAGGTCTCTGTTCTGAAGTTTTGCAATAACTATCAACAATTAAATCAGTGGTGACCACCCTCTTAGACTCGAACCAGAGCCAACCACTGATAGAAGTTGTTGGCCCTCTATGACCCTAGGCTTTGCTCTTCCATCCTCACTATCTTGTTTCATTCATTGCTTTGTCCTCTTGAGGATCACTTAGGGCCAAATCCATGATCATTTTAAATAGTTCTTGGCCCATCAGCTCTAGCAATATCTTCTTGAAAGCTTTCCTCTCTTGACTTCTAAGATGCTCTCATTTCCTGATTCCCTCCCGTTCTTCTCTTTAGTGCATTCTCTCAAGATTTAGGTACCTGATAAACACTTCCTCTAAAATACATTTCCCCCCATTGCTATATTCTACTTTGGGTACTTGGCTAATGTCATGATTTCAGCTATCAACTAGAGAGACCTACTCCCAGCTATATAGGTCTAGCCTGGACCTTCTCTACAGTTTTATGCTTCAAACTGACAATAAGAGATCTCCAACCAGATGTTCCCCACTGAGGAAACATCAGGGACTTCAAACTCAGGCAGTCCCAAGCTGAACTCATAATTTTCCATTTCAAACATGTTTTTCCCCTTATTATCCCCATCCTTGTCATTGATACCACCACCTTCCTAATCACCTGTGATAAAATCCCAACATCACCATAGTCTCTTCAGTTTTGTCCATATCAAATCAGTTACTAGGACCTATTGCATCCACATCTGCAAATATCTAAAATTAGACCATTCTCCTATTGACTCCCAGTGGAACCTACTGGGTGAATATAAATACTATGGGGTGGTTATCAAGTTCTGCAGGATAAATGGATGCATTCTGTGTTCTCCTATCCCAATTAGATATGATAAACACAATCACATTAAGGTATAAGTGAGGGATAATAATTTAAATTCTAGTAGAAATTTAAAAGTTAACGTTTTTGTCCTCCAACTCATAAACTTCATTAAATCACTTATTCTGCAGATATTCAAATTAAGTGAGTACCCAATAAATTTTTAACATTTTAAAATTTATTTGCTTTTAATAAAATTACCTCTAAAGATGCTTGATACTTGAAATTCTCTTAGCTAAAAAGAAGAAAGCTCTCTAGAGGTGTACTTATACATTCTTGATTGGCCAAACAAAGGCATAAATTCTAGTTAAGGTATTGATAAGGCAACAGAGCGAAGCTTTTGTTTTTTTTCCTGCCAGTGCTTTTGAAATTATGTATCTGTGCTTGGCTACTTTAAAAGACAAGTCCTGTCCTCACCCGTTTGGCTCAGTGGATAAAGTGTCCACCTGTGGACTGAAGGATTCTAGGTTCGATTCCGGTCAAGGGCACATGCCCCAGTTGCCCTTGCAGGCTGGATCCCCAGTAGGGGGCATGCAGGAGGCAGCGGATCAGTGATTCTCATCATTGATGTTTCTATCTCTCGCTCCCTCTCCCTGCCTCTCTGAAATTAATAAAAATGTATGTTTTAAAAATACAAGCCCTAAAAATGATATTAGTAGAGACTACTATTTAATAAATATTTTCAGATAAACATGCTAGAGAAAGAAAGGCGAGATCATGCAAACTCATATATGAGTTACACTTGAACAGACAGAGAACAATTGGTAATAACTTTGCTATAATTATCTAACAGGGACTAAGAAAGAAATCATTAAGAGGAGTTAGGAAATGCACCGAAAAGATTTATGGAGCATCTGAATGAAAGAAATTAAATTGTCAATTTCTAGTATCTATGACTAAGAATTACTCGGAATCACTATTTGTGCTCTTCCCTTCTATGAACTAGAGTTATGAGCATAGTATAAATTGATTAAAGTATTAAATGATAAATTATATCATACTTTACCAGTTGCCCAAATGCAGCCCCCCACCATTGCAAAAGGCCAAAACTTAGGGCAATGTAATACCAGATTGGCCACCAAGGCAGCCAACCATATAGCAGCACAAAGCACCCACTGGAGAAACATTCCTGGAAATAAAAGAAATTGGTGTCAGTGGTTCAAACTGATTTGTGTAAATTAAGGCTTAGGAATACCAATGAGATATTATTATAGGAATGGCCACAATTTACTGAATGCCTATTTGCCAGGAACTTTGCACATTTAATGTAATTCTTACAATTACTGTCCATCATCATTAACCCTAGTTCAAAGACAGAGAAAACGAATCTGAAATGAAGCAACTTGTACAAACAGCTAGAAGTTTGTAGAACTAGAATTTAAACCTAGGTTGTTTGACTCGAAAGCTTACTCAGCAGTGCATTTCTGCTTAACACCTTTTCCCATCTATTAGACAAATCAAATCTTTTCTACCAGAGTACTGGCAAGACTGAGTCTCTATATTTTTATTCAGATGCCACTCCTAGTGCTGTCCATCACCAAAAACATGGCCTTAAGAACTTCAGAAGAGGACAGCAGTGATTTAAACCTCTGAGGATCATTTATGCCGCCTTTGGGATTAAAATAAAGTCATTTATGGTCACGTGTAGACCTTGTACGTTTAGAGTTGAATGCCTATGATGAGTCAGACATCCCAAGCCTGAGCATCAGCCTTGTAGGTCTGGGCTACTCTCCTTTCTAGGCTCTGGGTTGGCATTTGCCAGTTTTTGGAACAGTGCACGGTGATGCGGGTAAACCTGTACCTTTCTGAGGCTTCTGCATCAAGGTTTCGAGATTAAAAGGATAAAGAAAGAGTCAACATTGGAAGAAATACTAAGCCACTGATAACTCAATGTAACACTCTGACTCTAAACGTTGGAAGATTTTTGCTTATTTCTGTGGAGGAAAGAAAAAAATGGCCGTTAACCTCTCAGACAAAAAAAAAAAGTAGGATCATAAAGATGAAAGGGAACATCATTTTACAAGTTCTTCATTTTATAAATGAGAAACTGAGACCAAAAGAGCTGATGAAACTTGCCCAGGATCATACAGTTGTGAAATACCTAAAACCTAGGTCCGCGATCCCTCAGTGTGGTTTTTGTTCCTCTTTTAGTAGTTTCCATTCCTATCTTAACTCCAAAGGCAAAGAACGGCTGTGGAGGGGAAAGATTTTTAATTTTATGGTCTAAGTTGTGACAAGACATAAAGAATCTGGGAGATAACGCATCTGCTTTCTAACAGGTGTTCACCATAACTTCTCCAATTCCTCCTTCTGGCTTTCATATAAAAGGCAGGTATATAAAAACAACTGTTGCTTCTTCCCTAAAATTCACATTATAGCCAGTTCTACTATAATGTGACATTACATTCCTAAAAATCACTGCACTATGCAAAATCATGCAATAGAAATCTCAGAGCTAATGGGGAAATTGGGGCTATGGTACAACACAAAAACTTCATCAACATATTAGAAAAAAAAAGATAGAAACCTGATAAAAATGATAGTACAGTTTTGCACTGGGTATGTGGTTAAGAAATTCATAAATGTGGCTCAACTTGAAAAAGACCTGAAGTTTGCTTATGGAAGTGGACATCGGAAGTGTTACAGCTTGTAAGTTAGCGTGAAGTGGGTGGATAGAATGTTCTAACACTAGATGAGGATGGTTGTAGTGCTGGGGAAGCTGGTGGATGTTTAAGGGGTGTATGTGAGCGCATTACTATGCATCTTTACCCATCTAGATGCAGTGTTCTGTGTTCGCCTTGTTTTGTCAGAGTCAAAATTGCACATAAGCAAACACAAAATTCATGTTATGCTCAAATTGTTCTCTATTCTCTCAATTGCTTTGGAAATTTGTGTTTTCAAAACCCATGTTATTCGTAGAATGGACTTTCTTCTTTTGTAAACATAACAGATATGGATAAAAAGCTTTCCTGACAGTATCCATCCTAGCTTTACCATGAAACACGACCTTAAGGTTGTCTTATACTAACTCTCAGATAACTGGCTTGGCATTATTAAATGATTTAGTTTAAGCTTTATTCATTTGGTGCCAGCATAAACAAAATTTATTTTTTTAGCCATCATTTTTTAAAAGACCCAAATAGAGAACTTTGTATTTAAAAATAATTTAAGGTTAACAACAAAGGAAAAATAGTTACCATCACCAGTATCATATTTTTTAAGTGGTACATAGTTTGAGCCAAACAAAAGGATGGCTACAGAAGAGGAGATGAAACCGAGGGTTAGGTCTGTTCCATTGTTGCTCATGGTTATAGTTCTGCCTGAGAGTGAGCTGGTTCACTTTAGACTTGATGCAATTTTCAAGAGCTTCTGAAATAGAAGATATAGAAATTAAACAATGAAGAAGTTGTGAATCTGTGAACAAATTTTGACCAATAGATGCTATTTATCGAGTTTTTTTAAAAGTATGCACAGATTCCTTCTTCCAGATATAGAGTTAGGATATTATGAAATTAGATATTATGTTCATACTCCATGGTCATTTATTCATTTTTTGAAATAAAAAAAACTTTTTGATCTCTAATCTACAATTAAAAAAAACAACTGTCTTCAGAGCTTGAAAGCCTCAATTCTTCTAAGATTTAGATACAGTTTTATTATATTATAAAAAATTCTTCTGTGTAGGTAGGTGGGTATAATAAACAAATTGTAGACTAGGACTCTGTTTACTTCCACTGGCTGTTGTGATGAGCAAATGAGAGAGCATGTCTGAAGACCTTCAGAACTACTAGTGCCTTAACAAGCAAAAGCCTGTTATATTTCTGACACAGCTTCTAGGCATGCGTAGGTTGAATCACTGTTACATACTTAGGATCCGCTACAGATAAATGCACTTTTCTTCATCAGTAGTACCCCCAGTGTCTAGTAATTTAAATAGTTCATAAACCCTTATATCTTTATGGCTTAAAAAATAAACTGAACAGATAGAATAATCTTCTAAAGATCTCTTCAAGAATCTCCTAAATCTCAAGATTTAGGTCCTTGAAGAGTCACTCTTCAGGAATATCCGCAAGTATATGTTTAGCAGTGGTGTGTTGTACAATATTAGTCAGTCCAGGACAATGTGAGGCAGCTGGCAGTTCTCTGTATAATCTGGTAGCCACTAGTCACATATGAATAACTAAATTTCATTTAAAATAATTAAAATTAAGTTTAAAAAATTTCAGTTCCTCAATCATGCTAACCACATTCTCAGTAGCCACATATAGCCAGTAACTACTACATAGGACAGTGTAGATACAAAACATTCCCTCATTGCATAAGTTCGATTGGATAACATTGCTAAGCTTATTAAAAAGTTCTGGTCCTCCTATGAAGAAAAGACCTCAAACCATAAAGAGCCAAGAATCAGGCATTTTTCATAAGGTAACATTTGGAAAAGGCTAATAAACATAATTCCTCTTTTTAGTTGTACAAGCTACATGAGGGGGAAAAAAATAACACAAAGAATCATTTTATCACAGGAGGAAACCAGAGTCTTCCCCCAATGCCATCTTGAGTTTATATGTGGTACATTGACTTTTTGGTTCACTTCACCATGTAAGCTGTCTGAAATGGAACTGAAGATAATCCAGTCCTTTTCCCCCTCCAAATGTAATATTATAGCAATAACTTCTGCTGGGGTCCAACCCCAGCAGGTCCAGGGGTCTCCAAAGGTGTGGACGGAGTCGGCGAAGAAGGAATGACACGGAGACAGCGTTCAGTAGATCAGCAGCCTAGCTAGGATCTCTAGCCAAGTTCTAGTCAGGATCTCCAGCGAAGTTCTGGTCAGGATCTCCAGCGAAGTTCTGGTCAGGGTCTCCAGCAAAGTTCTGGTTAGGATCTCCAGCCAGGTTCTGTGTCCATGTTCTCTTGCTAAGTTCTCCAGCCAGGTTCCCCAGGTTCCCCAGCCAGGTTCGGTCACCAGATTCTGTAGCCAGGTTCTTCAGCCAGGTTCTGGCTAGGTTCTCCAACCAAGTTCTGTAGCCAGGTCCTGTCCAGAATCTTTTGCCAGGTTCCGTCACCAGGTTCTAGTCAGGTTCTCTTGCCATGTTCTATCCAGGTTCTGTAGCCAGGTTCTGTCTCTAGGTTCTTCAGCCAGGTTCTCTCACTAGGTTCTGTCTCTAGGTTCTGTGTCCTGTTGTCTTGTTACATCTGTATTTATACCAGTTGATTCCAATCCTATCAATCTCTATTACAAAGGTTAGGGCGTTTCTTATCTCCATTCCAGGGAGTAAAGATTATGTAGCTTAAGTGTGATTGTTTGTAGTTAAAGTGATTAACTACCTGCCTGGCACTTAGTTAAGGGGTTTTATCCCCTCCCTAACTTCAGGGAAAAATCCCTACCTGGGGAAACAACCTTTCTCAGAGAGGTGACCTTGGTTAAAACACATAGCGCCAAGAAGGTGAGCAAACATATTAAGAACAGTATGCCATATATGCCAGGTCCCTTGAAACAGCAAGGATGGACCGGCTCCCGGCAAATTTCTTGTGGATATGTATTGAATAAAGTACATCTGAAACCACCTTCTTAGTTATTTTAAAACTAGGGGCCCGGAACATGAAATTTGTGCACGGGTACAGACCCTAGGCCTGGCCTGTGATCAGGGCCATCTTCCCGGGCTGCTGGCAGCCGGCCCTACCCCCCCTGCCGCCACCCACCCCCAGTTCCCTGTTCACCATTGGGCAATCAGAGCCTGCCAGCCGAAGGAGGGGGGCCAGGGGGAAGGGACTGGGGGGTTGGTCAGTGCGCCTCATAGCAACTGGTTGAGCAGTCATTCTGGTCGTTCTGCCATTCGGTCGATTTTTATATTACTCTTTTATTTATATTTCATTTTTCCAGGTATTGCTTCTTACATGTTCGCACAGAGAACATTAAATATACAGCTACCTATAATACATGTTCCTAGGCATTATTATGGATAATTTAACTGAAAACAAGGATAACTTCTAAGTTTCTGAATGAATTTTAGTAAGAAAAATAGCTATTTGAAATTGTGTGTGCTTTCTTAAAACAACAACAACAACAAAAACAAACACAGCTGGTAAGACAGCATCCTCCACGGGGATGAACTTGAGGAAGATTTAAATTCTGACAGAGTAACACTATTCCAATAAAAGAGTAGTTTTAATGTTAGGCAAAAAGAAAGTTTCACCTCTGCAAAGGCTTATCTGGGCTACTGCTCAAGGTTCAAGCAGAGGTGAACTTTTGCTAAGATAAAACAGTTACAATAGGTCACAGGTGTAGGAGGTGCCTGGGAAGAATGTCATGGGACTAAAAAGATGCAAGATTAGGTGTTGGCTAAGAAGCCACTTTTTTATTTTAGTTAAAACAAGCAAAGTGAAGTAAAACCTTTAAAAGCACATTCGTTGATAGGAGAATGTCAAACCTTCAAAAGTGGCAAATTATTTTAGTGAAAAGATGGCTCTATTAAAGACTATTGACAGACCTAAACCTCCCAGTTCTCACTCCATTGAAGGAATAATTTGAAATGCTAATCAGAGTACAAGAGCTGTATTTTGACTGTTGAATGAACATTAATCAATGTTACTTCACTTAAAGTTGTTTCCTGCAGATAACTGAAGTTTATTGCACACGGCTCTGGTACTTTTTGGAAAGCATGTGATGTGTTTTCAGTGCGGGTTCGCAATACTCTAAGGAAGAGTCTACCTCTTTTTAAATCCATGAAATTTTTGTGGAAAAGAATAGCAATACTACTTTATCTAGCAACATCACTCAATTCTTTTTCAGTGCAAACCTGTTGAGTCAATAAATCTCAAATTACTTTTAAATAAACTTTAAATTAAATTAATATACTTTAGATTAAAGTAGTTTTTTTACTGTAAAGACTTTTTTATTTTAACATTTTTTTCCTTTATTGATTAAGGTATTACAAATGAGTCCTTATCCCCTATTGTCTCCCAATCCCCCACTCATGCCCTCCGCCCCCCACCCCCCATCCATTAGTTATGCTTATATGCATGCATACAAGTCCTTTGGTTGATCTCTCCCTTACCCCCCACCCTCCCCTACCTTCTGTCTGAGGTTTAAGCATCTGATTTAATTTTTACTTTTAAATGTCCACTGCTACTCTATTAAACTATATTCATTAATTTTTGTTCTAGTACTTTTGTTTCATTTATTGGTAAATACTTTTCCTCTACATGTCTCCTAGCAATTTTAACTTCTATGCAGACCTTTTGTTGTTGGTATTTGCTATGGTCTGATCCATACTGTTTGTTCCACTTCAACTAACATTTTAGTTTTAGTTTCATGTTCATTTCCTCTAATCTGCTAACTTCTGCCAGTGTCTTGGCTAAAATTAGCAGGGCTTCAACATATTTATTCTGAGCTTTGATTTTTCTTTTTACTCATGGGCACATTTTGAAACATCATGAGACAACTCCCTTGCAAAGTTACTTGGATTTCCTTTGAGATGCTGTACTCACTGCGCTCAGGGCTAGCGGCTAAACTCCCACCTGCTCAGCAACCCATCATGATCCGCCTCCACAGGTGCTGGCTGCTGGTGCGGAGCCTGCGCCAACCTCATTCCTTCTGCCCTCCAGGCACCTCACCAGCCTCTACTTCCTTCTCGGACAGTTACCTACTAGTAAGCACAGGGCAGGGGTAGAGGAGCGGGGTGGGGAGGGGTGGGGAGGAGAAGGAAGGAGAGGGAAGGGCTCTTACACTGGAGACCCTATTCCTTAGGCTCTCCTGGTGGCCTGGCCAGACTTTGCTTCCTGGCTGGAGGGGGAGGGAGGCTCTATTAGAAGTGATCCAAAGGTCTTGCCTGAGAGCAGCAGGGTAGGGAGCACCCTCCTTCAGCGTCCGTGCCAGAGTGCGTGGTCATGTGACTCAGGTGAGTCCTCAAGCCCTTTGCCAATCCACCTGCAAATTAGAAAGGCTTTTGTGTATTTGAAGAGGTGATTTTTCAGGGAACTCTGAGCATGTCACTCTCTCTAAACATCACAGAACTAGGTATTATTTGTACTATTTATGGATAAAACCAAAGGCCAAGGAATTTCACACAGTTGTGGAAGATTATCTGAAGCTGGATTTTTTTTTCCCCCACTGAATACCCAGAAATTCATCTGAACGGCTCAGTGTCACTGACCTCTCTTGTAAGATTTCGCTGGTAATCACTAATCCTTTATCAGTGCACCAGACCATTTACCCACGCATTTATCTACTATGTGCTGAGTACCACAGGAGAACATATGTTCTAGTCTTCTCAAACCTGACTACACGCTACAATTGCTGGGGAGGTTTTTTGTTTTATTTATATATTTGTTTGTTTGTTTTTAAAATATTGATACCTGGACCCCACACCAGACCCACTGCAATAGGATCTCTAGGGGTGTGGCTCAAGAATCATTTTCTTTTCAAACCTCCTCTGTGACAATCACATTCTAAATTAATAGTTGTCAGATGATATTGATAGTAAGAATCAATATATTGAGGGGGAGTGGGTTGAAATGCAGATTCCTGACATCTTGGTTTAGAGCCAGCCGTGGGCAAACTACGGCCCGCGGGCCGGATCCGGCCCGTTTGAAATGAATAAAACTATTGAAAAAAAAGACCGTACCCTTTTATGTAATGATGTTTACTTTGAATTTATATTAGTTCACACAAACACTCCATCCATGCTTTTGTTCCGGCCCTCCGGTCCAGTTTAAGAACCCATTGTGGCCCTCGAGTCAAAAAGTTTGCCCACTCCTGGTTTAGACTTTAAGAAATATTGCACTAGTTTCTCATTTTCTGATATGTAGCCACAGACTGCATATGACTACAGTGGGGCCTTGACTTACGAGTGTCCCGACTAATGAGTTTTTCGAGATACGAGCTGTCTCTTGGTCGATTTTTTCTTTGAGTTGTGAGCTAAAATTCGGGTTACGAGCCAGCTTCAGATACCCCACCGCTAGTTGGCGCAGTGAACGTCACAGTGAACGCCACAACATCAGCCCAGCATCACGTGTCTCACTTGTTCACTTTAAGACTTGACATACGAGTAATTTGTTACGAGCTCCGTCACGGAACGAATTAAACTCGTAAGTCAAGGCCCCACTGTATTTAAATTTATATTAGAATTAAAAACTCAGTAGTTCACCCTGGCCGGTGTGGCTCAGGTGGTTGAACATCATCCCATGCACCGAGAGGTAGTTGTTCACTTGTCCTAGACACTTGTCCTGGACACAATCCACCTGTACAGATTACAGATTCCTACCATTGCAGAGTTCTGGCAAACAGCACCGTTGTAGATTGTTAGCTCTGAGTGCAGCAGTGACCGCCACAGGTTCCTACCTTTCATGTAGGTTCCAGAATAACAAGGGACGCAGATATGAGCAAATAAATTCAGAAAGGGAAAGTGCTGCATCCTGCCTTAGTTGCAGCGGTTCTCAACCTGTGGGTCGCGACCCCTTTGGGTAGTGGTTCTCAACCTTCTGGCCCTTTAAATACAGTTCCTCATGTTGTGACCCAACCATAAAATTATTTTCGTTGCTACTTCATAACTGTAATGTTGGTACTGTTATGAATCATAATGTAAATATCTGATATGCAGGATGGTCTTAGGCGATCCCTGTGAAAGGGTCCTTTGACTGCCAAAAGGGTCTCAACACACATGTTGAGAACCGCTGCCTTTGGTGGTCGAACGACCCTTTCACAAGGGTCGCCTAAGACCATCGGAAAACACATATATAATTACATATTGTTTTTGTGATTAATTACTATGCTTTAATTATGTTCAATTTGTAACAATGAAATTGGGGGTCACCACAACATGAGGAACTGTATTAAGGGTTGTGGCATTAGGAAGGTTGAGAACCACTGGTTAAGGGTTCAAAGAAAGTCTCTCTGAGGAAGTGACATTTAACTGAGACAATCCGAGGTTAGTAGTGGTGGTAGAGTTGCAAGAAGGAGAAAACATAAGGACTGCCCAAAGATGAGGTGTCCTGGAAGGAAGCCCTCTTTAAACAGGAGATGAGAAGCTACAGTGCCATGTCCTTTAAAGAATTAAAGACGCGAAGGCTTTTCATTTAAGGGTAGGGATTAATTCAGCAGTTCAGAAAGAAATCTGAAGTTTCCCTTTCCACACATGCATACCCCAGATACGCACATATACAAACTCTCTTCCAAAAAATATAGGGCCTAAATACAATGGTTTCACTTTGTGGTTATAAGAGACCTCAGTGATCATGTGGTTTGTTCTTGCTTCAGATTCACATTAAGAAATTGAGGCTCCCATTGTTGTGAGTTTCTTAAAACCTAAAAGTGAACTGGGGCTAAGTTAGGCTTGAGGATATTTGTAACAGGATATTCCAGTTCAGTCCTTTTCATATCATGCTCCTTAAACTGAAAATTTTCTTTCAAGTTGGTTCATATGTATTAATGCCTAAACATAACGATCTTTGTTGGAAGACTCTTAGCAGGCACTAGAAGATCAAGGTTAGTTTCACCTAAGTTTTTTTTTTAATATGTAAAATGTCAATCATTAAGATCTGTATACCTCTCCCTTTAATGTAGTCAAAAAGATATAATGTATATAAAAAATATTATGAAGACTTCTGGTTTCTGTTCTAACATTTGAAGATCTTGAAAGTTGTCACTTCTGTCATCTCAGTAAGAAAAAAAGCTAAACAGACTGAAAATCAACAATTTTTATTACATCCATCAGAGAATTAGGGTCACGGGACAAATCACTGTCCTGAACACTGAAGACATGGGTGAATGCAAGGAATCCCAGCTTACTAGGAGCCAGTAATGGGTAGAGGGCACTTAAACAGCAGCCGGTGAATTGCTGGAGACTGAATGTGGACTCAGTCAAGCATTGAAAACCTGGGGAAGCAGGGCCCAGTCTTAGGGGAGCATCCACACTCTCTCGGGTCTTACCTCCAGAAGCCACTTGAGGTTCTCACAGTGAAGATCAGAGAAAAACGCCCTCTTGCTTCTGGCAAGGGGAGGGAAAGGGCAGTCGTTTTGAAATCCATCCAGTGCCTTCAGTTTTCTGAAACAAAGGTGAGCCCTCAGGGAAACTTCTTCATGAAAGTGTCATCTGACCTAGAGGAAGAGCAATTAGACAGCTTGAGCCCCTTTTTGCCTTTCTACCTGCTGGCATGGTTAAGAAACTCTTCTGAAGGTCACCGCCCACTAATGCCAGCTCACTAAAAATGGAGATTTAATCATAAAATTCCCCAATACTTTATGACCATAGTAAAGGGGCTCCGGGATAATGACAGTGCATTGCAACTGAGAGATCTGCAAGACACACTGTTTAAAAGGAGTTTCTAAGAAAAGGACATGAAAGGAAACTGAAGCCTGTGACGCCTACAGCTAGAGCAAACATTAGACACAGTCAAGCTCCTTGCCAGATAAACATAAAACCTCACACTAGAGGCCTATTTATCTTAGTTCTTATTATCCAATATATCATGTCTGGCTTTCAACAAAAAAATTACAAGGTGTAATAAAAGGCAAGAAAAAAAATGCAGTCTGATGAGATAAAGCAAACATCAGAACCAGACTCAGATATGGTAGAGACTTTGGAATTATTATACTGGGAATTTAAAATAGCTATAATTAACATGCTAAGAGCTCTATTGGGAAAAAAAAATGGACAGCATTTAAGAACAGATGTATAATATTCACAGAGTTGAAAACTCCAAGAATCAAAAAAAAAAATGCTAAAACACATAAAACACTGCACCAGAAATGAAGAATGCCTTTCACAACTGAAACATAATGAGTGAGCTTAAATATATGTCAATAAAAACTTGCTAAATTTAAATGTAAAGAGAAATTAGAATTTAAAATAAAAGAAATAGAATATTCAAGAATTATGAAAAAATTAAAAAAGTGTAACACATAGGCAATGGGAATGCCAGGGGGGGAAAAAGAGAGAAAGGAGAAGAAATATTTGAAGTAATAATGGCTGGCAATTTTAGAAAATTAATGGCATACCAAACCACAGTTCCAGAAAGCTCTTAGAACCCAAATAGGATAAAAAAAAAAAAATCTACAGGAAGGCCCATCATATTCAAATTTCAGAAAATCAAACAAAGAAAAATACTGAAACAAGCCTGAGGAAAAAGATACCTTACCTATAGAGTAGCAGAGAGAAGAATTACATCAGACTTTTCTTTGGGAACCATGCAAGCAAGAGAGAATGGAGAGAGATATTTAGAGTGTTGAAAGAAAATCCGCTGTTAGAATTCTGTATCCAGTGTAATTATTATTTTAAAGTGAATGGGAAATAAAGACTTCTCAGGCAAACAAAACTGAGGAAATTATTCACCAGTAGACATGTGTTGGAAGAAATGTTAAAAGAAGTTCTTAATAGAGAAAGGAACATGGTACAGGTCAGAAACTTGGATCTACATGAAGAAAAGAACACTAGAAAATAATAAATGGAAGTAAACAACTTTTCTATTCTTAATTGATCTAATGGATGACTATAAATAATTAGCAGCAGTATATTAGGCGATTTATAGCTTAAATAGTGAAATGAGTGACAGCAATGTTATAAGGGACAGGAGGAAGAAGAATTGGGAATAGCCTATAATAAATTACCTGAACTACCTAGGAAAGGTATCATGTTATTGAAAGTGGATTTAAATATATACCGCAAACTCTAGGGTAATTTCTAAAAATCAAAAATAAAAATTTAAGAGAATTATAAGTGACATGCTAAGAGAAAAGAGAAAATAGAATGATATAAAATATTAATTAAAACAAGAGAAAGCAGAAAAATAGAAGGCAAAAAGGGAAACAAAGAAAATGAATAGAAATCAGTAGGTGGTAGATATTAATCCAGTTCTATCAAGAATCACTTTAAATGTGAATGGTCTAAATATACCAATTAAAAGATAAAGACTGACAGGGTTAATAAAAGATAGAACCCAAGGACATTTTGTCTAAAAAAATTCAGTTTAATTTTAAAGACAGATTAAAAGGGATGGAGAAAGATATACCATGCTACTATTAATCAAAAGAAAGCTTGAATAGCTATTTTAATTTTAGGCAAAGCTGATTTTTTTCTCAGACTCAGAACAGGAAACCATCAGGGATAAAGAGGGGCATTACATAATGATAAAGATGTCAACTCTCCAAGAAGACATTATAATCCTGTGTATGTACCTCACACAGAGTATCAAAATAAATGAGACAAAACAGATAAAACTGTAAGGAGAAAGAGACGCAAATCCATGACCATAGCTGGAGTCTTCAATCCCCTTTTGTTAGTAATTGACAGATCCAGCAGGCAGAAAATCAGTAGGGATCTAGCTAAACTGCCTAGCACCATCATCATCTGGATCTAATTGGCAGTTATATAATACTTCATCCAACCACAGGTGACTAAACATTCTCCCCAACTCACATAGAACATTAGCCAAGATAGACTACATTCTGGCTATAAAACACATCTTTAAAAATTAAAAAAAATCGACATCATACAAAGTATGCTCTTAGACCACAATGAAATTAAACTAGAAATAACAGAAAGACATCTGAAAAATCCCAAACTATTGGAAATTTTAAAAACACACCACTAAATAACTCATGGATTAAAGAAGAGTTCTTAAAACAAAATATATTTCAAAGTAAATGAAAATGAAAATACTATTTAATCAAATTTGTGAGATGCAGTGAAATCAGTGCTTAGAGAAAATTTATAGCATAGAATGCACATATTAGAAAATAAAGCTCTAAAATCAGTAATAGAAGTTTCCATGTAAAAAACTAGAAACAACAACAACAAAAAAATCCCAAATTAAATCCAAAATAAGTAGAACAAAATAAAAGAAATCAAGGAAATTAAAACAGAAAATCAATACAGAAAATTAATGAAACAAAAACATTCCTTATCTGAAAAGTTTAATAAAATTGATAAACTTTTAGCCAGGCTAACTTGAAAAAAAAAGGATAACACAAATATTATTAGAAATCAAAGAGCTACTGACACTATGGATATCAAAAGAATAATAAAGGCATGTTACAAACAAAGCTATGCCCACACATGATCACCTATATAAAATGAACCAATCCTAGCAGCAGTGTATTAGGTGATTATAGCTTGAAAGAAATAGTAAGCCAAAACTCACCCAATGAAAAATAGACAATCTGAAAAGACCTATATTTAAAAAATTGAATTGATAATTAATAGCCTTCTGAAACAGAAAGTACCAGGCCCAGGTAAATTCACTGGCGAATTCTATCAAATATTTAAGGAAGAAATTATACCAATTAGCTGTAATCTCTCCCAAAAAACAGAAACACTTCCTAACTCATTCTATGAGGCCAGCAGTAGCCTAACATTAAAACTAGATAAAGATATTACAAGGGGAAAAATGCAGAACATCGATGCTGAATTTCTCAACAAAATATTAGCAAAAAAAAAGCCAGCTATGTATAGAAAGAATTGTACATAGCTAATGTCTGGAAACAGCCCAACTACCCATCAGTAAATGAGTAGAAAATTTACACAATGAAATACTATGTAGCTGTAAAAAAGAAAGAGAGCTCTATTATCCTTTGAAACAACATGAAGGGACCTGGAGATTATTATGATCAGCTAAATAAACCAGTCAGAGAGAGACAAATATCACGTGATCTTACATATATGTGGAATCTAATGAACAAAATAAACTGACAAACAAAGCAGATCCAGAGACATGAAAGCATGCAACAACAGACTGATGACTCTCAGAAGGAAGAGGGGTTAGGGTGGGAAGAGATTAAACAAATAATTTACATGCATATATGCATAACCCATGGACACAGACAATAGTGTGGTGAAGGCCTGGGGAGGGGGCAGGAATGGGGAGGAAGGGGTCAATGGGGGAAAAAAGGGTTCATCTGTGGTACTTTCAACAATAAAGATAAATTTTAAAAATAAAGAATTGTACACAATGACCAAGTAAGATTTATCCCCGAGTTGGAAGGCTGGTTCAACACTGAAAAAATCAATGAATGCAATCCATCACATCAACAGGCTAAAATAGAAAAATCACACCATCTGCCTCAATCGGAGGTTGAGCATCGATCTATGAACTAGGAAGTCATTTTTCAGTTCCCAGTCAGGATACATGTTTGGGTTGTGGGCTCGATCCTTAGTGGGAGGCATGCAGGAGACAGCCAGTCAATGATTCTCTCTCATCATTGATGTTTCTATCTCTCCCTTCCTTTATGAAATACATAAAAATATAATAAAGAAAAATCACACAATTATATCAATAGATGCAGAGAAAGCATTCGACAAAATCCAACATCCACTCATAATGTTAAAAAATGCTCAACAAACTAGAATACCGGGGAACTTCCTCAGCTTGATAAAGAATATCTAGCAAAAATCTACACCTAACCTCCTGTTTAATGGCAAGCAACTCATACCAGGAGCATGACAAAGATGGCCCCTCTCACCACTGCTTTTCAACAACATATTACAAGTACTAACTAATATAGTAAGGCAAGGAAAAGTAATAAAAGGAATGCAAATTGGCAAGAAAGTAATGAAAATGTCTTACTTGACAAGTGATATGATTGCCCATATAGTAAATCCCAAACAACTGCCAAAAATAACTCCTGGAACTGATAAGCAATTATAGCAAGGCTGCGGGATACAAAGTTAGTACATAACAGACTGTTGTTTCCCTATATACCAGCAATAAACAATGAAGATAGAAATTCAAAACACAGTAACATTTACATTAGCATTAAACAATGAAATATTCAGGTATAAATCTAACAAAATGCACATTATGGCACTTTGCTTCTACAAAAGTCCTTATTAGTATGGTAATGGCTTTTCTTGTAACAATAAAAATCCTCTTTGAATTTATTTTGGTTAGTAAAACAGATACTATTATAGGCCTTTTGAAAAACAAAGTGGTGTAAAGCAAACTTTCAAAAAGTGAGGGGTACTCTTCACTTTATGCCATTTAGGTTTATGAAAGTTTTCATAGGGATGCTCTACCTTTAAACGGGGAAACCTTGTACAAGATGTATCTGAGGAAAACTATAAAGTTGTGATAAACAAAATTAAATAACTAAATAGATATTCTATGTTCATAGATACAAGGCAGTATTAAGATGTCACTTCTTTCCAACTTGATCTGTAGATTCAATGCAATCTCAATTAACATACTAACAAGTTACTTTGTGAATATTGACAAACTGATTCTAAAGTTTATATGGAGAGGCAAAAGACCCAAAATAACCAACACAATACTGAAAAAGATGATCCCAAAATGTAGTGGCTTAAAAATTACTCTCTCACACAGTTTCTGTGAGTCAAGAATTTGAGAGCAATTGGGGTAGGGGTTCTCAGAGTCTCTCAGAAAGCTGGCTGAAGTTCTAATCATCTGAAGGAAGGATGTGTCTGGGGCTAGGTGGCTTACTCACATGGCTGGCAAGTTGGCTGTAGCTGCTGATGGGAGACCTCATTTCCTCTTCAGAGGGTCCTTTCCAGGGGACTGCTTGAGTGTTATGACATGGTGTGGATTTCCCCAGGGTGAGAAATCCAAGAAGGTGGAAGTGTCATTCTCTTTTATGACCTAGCATCTGAGGTCACACACCATCACTTCTGCCATATTCTATTGATTACGCAGTTAACCCCTGATTTAGTGTGAGAAGAGATTATATAATGGCGTGGCTACCAGGAGCTGAGGATCATTGTGAGCTGTCTTGGATGCTGTCTAGGAGGAAGAAAAAGGAGAATTACTAGAGTGATGTCCTCCTGTGAGTGCAAACAGATAGGATCTAGGGCAGGGGTGGGCAACCCCTGGCATGCATGCCAAACATGGCATGCCAGTAACTTTTGCTGACACGCGAAAACCTCTCTTATAATTTTCCATTTACAATTTTTTTCTTAATATCGACTTTTTTATTTTTCAGATAAATTCAGTGTAGGTGCATCTTAGATAAATAAATAATTTTACATAACAAGTTATCTTAAAGACCATAGACATGGATTGAGGAGAGAGAGGAAGAGCAATTTCAATAGTGTCGAAACGAACTATTGAGGACTTGGAATGCCATTCCAGAAAATTTTTTCTGTTTAAAAAACTTTGCAACAGTGTTACTCTCCATGTTTTCATCCACATACACTTGTGCATCTTTGTTCTCAGTGATTAATTTTGTTAAGTCTCATAATAGGAGTAGTCCAACTCCATAGGATGAAAGTAATAGCTCATGCATATCTCTGAAGGTCACAAAATATAAACCTGATGTAAATTCTCTGTCATCAGTGATGCAGCAGCAAAAGTCCCACTGATAATATCAAATGGGAGTCATAAAGTTTTCTGTCAGACTGTCAGTGTACATGTATACATTAAAAAATAAATGTATTTTTCATCATCATATACTGTGTTTTTGTCGCTTGAATGAATTTTATTATTTCTTCAAGGTTCTTCACATATGTACACCTTAAGAGATATCAAGTAGGCATAACATGTTCTCAAAAAATTAGAATTTTGAGTCAGAGATTTTGCTGGTTTTGGCACGCACTCACAAAAAGGTTTCCCACCCCTGATCTAGGGCAACAGGAGAGAGAATAGCCCTTGTTAGATTCAGAGATCGTCAATAGTCACAGTATATTGGTGCAGTAGCAGCTTCTCTGTGAAACAGAAAACAAGGTCATAGGTCAAGAATAAGGCCCTGGAAGGAGGTTTGGAGGTTCATAAATATTTCAAGTTTTTCAGTCTCTCTCAAGTGATGCAGTGGTCATTGTCATGTTGCTTGCTTGGTTATATTACTAAGGAGGAAAAAAAAGCCCTCTTTTTGATCACTGTTGTATTTATTATAAGAGGTACAGCCCGAGTCGTCATAAAGTGGAAGAAAGCCATCTGTGTGTAATTTTTTTAATTTAAAGAGTGGTTTTTTTTTCCTCTTTGGTCTCAAGAACTTTCTATATTTGTAGGATGGAAACTTTTATGCTATAAACATCCTTTGGTCTGTAATTAGATTAGTCTGTTACTTCTGCCTATGGAAGAGAATATAACACACATAATTAAATGTGCTTAAAGGGACATTTAAAATATAAGACATGATCTTTTCCTAGCCCAATCAGCCTGAGACTATGAGAGACAAACCTATAGAACAACTAAGTCAGGTTTACTAACTCACTGTGGGGTGTTTCACCAAAGAAAGGAAGAGAGCTGTTGTAGGACTTTGCAAAAAGGTGGAGTTTAGGTGCAGTGTAAATGAAGTGTTTTGAAGGGCTCAAAGAAAAATAGAGTTGTATATAAAGGGGTCAACATTGGTTCTAGACTGTGAGATGGACCCATGATTCTGCTTTCTTGGAAACAAAATCAAGATGTCCTAGCCAGTTTTGCTCAGTGGATAGAGTGTTGCACTGTGGACTGAAGGGTCCCAGGTTTGATTCCAGTCAAGGGCATGTGCTTAGGATGCAGGCTCAATCCCAGGTCCTGGTCAGGGTGCATGTAGGAGGCAACCAATCAATGTGTCTCTCTCATCATTGATATTTCTATCTCTCTCCCTTTTCAGTCCTCTCTGAAATCAAGAAAATTTTTTGGAGGGGGGCAGGAGGTAGGGGGATAAGAGATCAACTAAAGGACTTGTATGCATGCATAGAAGCATAACCAATGGACATAAGACACTGGGGCATAGGGGAGGCTAGGGGACTGTCTAGGGCGGGGGGATAAAATGGACACATATGTAATACCCTTTGTAATACTTTAAGCAATAATAAAAAAAAAAGATTAAGAATCTAAAAAATAAATAAATAAATAAAAATAAAAAGGATATTTCAATAGATGGTGGTTGGGTCAAATTGAAAAAAATATTGGATCCATATGCCATTATCATAGACCAACATAAACTTGAAATGGATAAAAATCAATAAATTAAAAAAAAAGATGTCAAATGTTATGCTACCTGAAACTCTGCTTGTGGACTATAAATCAAGGCTGCTTCTCTGTGTCATATGACTTAACTCCTTCAGACAAGAGTGGGATGTTTTATTCTTACTGAAATAATTTTAATGATACTCTGGTAGTCTGTAATTTTAGAGAAGATTTCTCAATAAATAGTCACTCCAAGAATTGGGCTATTATAGCATTTTATAGCAGCAACGTGTATTTGTGAGAAGTATTGTTTTCTGATAAATTTGTACCTTGCTTTATCTAAAGTTCTGATTCTGGATTGATGAAAGGTAAGGAAGATATTTACTTTCTCAGTCCAAGCACATTTTTACTTTTCCAGACTATATTATTATAACTTATTACATAATTAAAAATATTGATCCATAAGTCACTTTCCCTTAATAATCTTGATCAAGACACCTAAAGAGTATGTATCATATTTTATTTATTTATTTATTTATTTATTTATTTATTTATTTATTTATTTATATATTTTTGTTAATCCTCACCTGAGGATATTTTTTTCCATTGCATTTTAAAGAGAGTGGAGAAAGAGAGAGAGAAACATCGAAGTGAGAGAGACACATCCAGTGGTTGCCACCCACACGCACCTGGACCTGGGCAGAGATCAAACCTGCAACCCAGGTACGTGCCCTTGACAGGAAATTGAACCCTCGACCCTTCTGTGTGTAGGCTGACGCTCTAACCACTGAGAAACACTGGCCAGAGCTGAATCATATTTTAAATTTGTAATATAAGGAGGTTGGAAGAATTCCTCACCCATCCTATTTATATAAAATTAGAGCTCTTATATTAGCACCTGAACTACAGAGCCCCTTGCATATGTTTACAAGACCTCAGCATCAAAGTATTCCACAATTATGTCTGCTAGTTTCCACACTGTCACTTTCCCAGTATGACATTTTCACATTCTTCTTTCTTGTTGTCGCTTCCCCAGCTAACAACTACAGACATCAAAGATGTCTGAGGAAGACCTCCTGTTGCTATGACTGATGGATGTGGTGCATTATACCCACGTTTTTATAACTGCAGCTCCCAAAGTGGGGGGGCAGGGCATTGTTGGATTCTATAAGAACCTCAGAGAAAGTCTCTCTTCACTATGTCTTCTGGGCCTTGAAGCAGTCCTGCTCAGAAAAGCTGCCTGTCTCCTGTGCCTTATCTTCTGCAAGCAATCCTCAAAACGTAAAACAAACAAACAAAAGAAAACAACAACAAAAAACCAACCAAGAAATCAAGTCAATATTCTCAGAGATCTAGCTATGATTCTACCTTACAATGATGATCAAACCACAACGCTTAACCTCGGTCTCCAGGTCACCACAATTTTGTTAAGAACAAAGAACTAGCTTTCAGTGTGTACAGTCATAGGGCACATCTATTGATTTTCTATAAACAAGTTATTTTAAAGTCTCCACCATTAGAGACCAAAAATTTCTCAAGATACCACATGTAGTTTAAAATCTTTACTTGATTTTACTCATCAAAAAAATTAAATCTCTTGAGTCCAGGTATCCTATTGCTTAAGTAACCTTTAAAATACCCTCCAATGAACACACATGGCTTCTCATACTTGACTTGTTGTTGGCATGATCATGTGATTTTTCTTCAACAGTATCTAGTCAATGAATTCAGAATGAGAGTCAACATAGTACCTCTGGTGGAAGGACAGAGGACACAGGCCACTGAGGGTGCTGATGAGAGTACCATTGATGAGATCTAGGGAGGGCTCTAAGTGGGGTAGAGAAATAACTGAGGAAAGAAAGACACTGATGGGGCTGTAAAGGGACGCCTTCTGGATGGTGTATGATAACAACTAATAACTATTGAGCATTTACTTTGGGCAATCACTGCACACAGACCCTTATCTGCATTGTCTTGTTGAATTCCTAGAACAATGTAGTAAGTTACATGCTATTCTTATCTTCACTTTATAGATGAGGATACAAAACAAGGTTCAAAGAGCAACTGGCTCAGATTCACAGAGCTGATTAAGTGGTAGTGCTAGTTCTCAAGCCAAAATCTCTCTGATTTCAGTGCTTCGGTTATTAATACTTAATGCCCTTTCCAAAATATTGTGAGATATAAACCTCATCTGATCTTTTTAAGTAGATCTTTATTGGACACAAAAGCAAGTATCGGAAGCAGCAGAAGAACTGTAGCTATGTAACTAAATTCTTAATTTTGCTTTATCCTCTGCCAATCAACTACAACTTGACTTTGTTTCTGACTACTGAGTCCTCCTATTTTGACTCTATTCCCATGATCATTATACTTTTTGGGTGGATGTCTCATTTGCAAAGTTCTAGGGATCTAATCACGGTGACCATAGTTAGTAATACTGCATTGTATATATGAGATTTGCTAGAAGAGTAGATCTTACATGTTCTCATCACACATGCACAAAAAGTAACTAAAGTAACACATTAGTCCGATCTGTTCATTTAAATGTAAGCTTTATTTAATACTCAGTCTATCAAGCCCTCAACTTCCCAACTCCTGATTATCTCACTCAGGTGTCGTTGCTGTGTATGGGAGATGGGGTGTGGCTTATGGGACATTATGAAGGTGAATGATCCAGAGTCCTAACATGCTATGTTTTATGCATCCCCTAATTTCCAGAAGAGTGTCCCACTTAATTTCTGTCTTTCCGGTTGGGATTTATGGCTAAAGTGTATCTCTTGTCTTTGGTTCCTATCACTCCATGGAAACTGTCGAGATTATCAATGGCAGCCACTTTGCTAAATTCAATGGCTCATTCTCTGTTATTTTTTACTAG